ATTGTTATAGTTTTCTTTATAGTTGTGAAAGGGCGATTAGTGATAGCAAAAGGAGCCAGGAGCGTCAAATAAAAAAAAAAAATACAACTTACCTATAGACTAGTGCTCTTTTATTTGTTATTCTACTTTTATTTAAGTTTTCTTCATATTATGAATGAGTATTTATTATTTTTAAATTGTTAGTTTTTGTGTTAATTTCAGTTTCTAAATATTCATATTTTATTTTATTTCATCTTCATTCCAATGACCAGACATGTTTTGAACAGTTTTAGTTAACGATAAAAACTCCGCTGATACAATGCCAAAGCACGCCGAACAATATAAAGCAGGAAACGATATAAAGCTTGAAGGTAAAGTAAAAAAAAAAAAAAAAAATCAGATTTGAAACCGTGAACTAATAAATTGGAGGTAATGGTAATGTAGAAAAAGCAAAAGTGTCATGCAGCTGAAAATCCATTTTAAAGGAAAAGCGTTGCAGTGAATTCATCATTCATTTAAATAAACAGAAATGTTTTGAATAGTTTTAGTTAACGATAAAACCCCGCTGGTAAAATGCAGGAGGCACGCCAAACACAGTAACGCAGGAAACAAAACAAGAAAGCAGACCTAAAAGCAAGAAATAATAAATATCAGTTGAAAGCGAGATTTGTGAGTGCTGAGAGGACGCGTTCTCTGGTCCCAGAGTGTGTGAGAGTCCCGAGAGGACCCAGCATGTGTTACAGTGTCCCGAGAGGACCCAGCGTATGTTACAGTGAGTGTCCCGAGAGGACCCAGCGTGTGTTACAGTGACTGTCCCGAGAGGACCCAGCGTGTGTTACAGTGACTGTCCCGAATGGACCCAGTGTGTGATACAGTGAGTGTCCCGAGAGGACCCAGCGTGTGTTACAGTGACTGTCCCGAGCGGACCCAGCGTGTGTTACAGTGAGTGTCCCGAGAGGACCCAGCGTGTGTTACAGTGACTGTCCCGAGAGGACCCAGCGTGTGTTACAGTGACTGTCCCGAATGGACCCAGTGTGTGATACAGTGAGTGTCCCGAGAGGACCCAGCGTGTGTTACAGTGAGTGTCCCGAGAGGACCCAGCGTGTGTTACAGTGACTGTCCCGAGCGGACCCAGCGTGTGTTACAGTGAGTGTCCCGAGAGGACCCAGCGTGTGTTACAGTGACTGTCCCGAATGGACCCAGTGTGTGATACAGTGAGTGTCCCGAGAGGACCCAGCGTGTGTTACAGTGAGTGTCCCGAGAGGACCCAGCGTGTGTTACAGTGAGTGTCCCGAGCGGACCCAGCGTGTGTTACAGTGAGTGTCCCGAGAGGACCCAGCGTGTGTTACAGTGAGTGTCCCGAGCGGACCCAGCGTGTGTTACAGTGAGTGTCCCGAGAGGACCCAGTGTGTGTTACAGTGAGTGTCCCGAGAGGACCCAGTGTGTGTTACAGTGAGTGTCTCGAGAGGACCCAGTGTGTGTTACAGTGTCCCGAGAGAACCCAGTGTGTGTTACAGTGAGTGTCCCGAGAGGACCCAGTGTGTGTTACAGTGAGTGTCCCGAGCGGACCCAGCGTGTGTTACAGTGAGTGTCCCGAGAGGACCCAGTGTGTGTTACAGTGAGTGTCCCGAGCGGACCCAGCGTGTGTTACAGTGAGTGTCCCGAGAGGACCCAGCGTGTGTTACAGTGAGTGTCCCGAGAGGACCCAGCGTGTGTTACAGTGAGTGTCCCGAGCGGACCCAGCGTGTGTTACAGTGAGTGTCCCGAGAGGACCCAGTGTGTGTTACAGTGAGTGTCCCGAGCGGACCCAGCGTGTGTTACAGTGAGTGTCCCGAGAGGACCCAGTGTGTGTTACAGTGAGTGTCCCGAGAGGACCCAGTGTGTGTTACAGTGAGTGTCTCGAGAGGACCCAGTGTGTGTTACAGTGTCCCGAGAGAACCCAGTGTGTGTTACAGTGAGTGTCCCGAGAGGACCCAGTGTGTGTTACAGTGAGTGTCCCGAGCGGACCCAGCGTGTGTTACAGTGAGTGTCCCGAGAGGACCCAGTGTGTGTTACAGTGAGTGTCCCGAGCGGACCCAGCGTGTGTTACAGTGAGTGTCCCGAGAGGACCCAGTGTGTGTTACAGTGAGTGTCTCGAGAGGACCCAGCGTGTGTTACAGTGAGTGTCCCGAGAGGACCCAGTGTGTGTTACAGTGAGTGTCCCGAGAGGACCCAGCGTGTGTTACAGTGAGTGTCCCGAGAGGACCCAGTGTGTGTTACAGTGAGTGTCTCGAGAGGACCCAGTGTGTGTTACAGTGAGTGTCCCGAGAGGACCCAGCGTGTGTTACAGTGAGTGTCCCGAGAGGACCCAGTGTGTGTTACAGTGAGTGTCCCGAGAGGACCCAGCGTGTGTTACAGTGAGTGTCCCGAGAGGACCCAGTGTGTGTTACAGTGAGTGTCTCGAGAGGACCCAGCGTGTGATACAGTGAGTGTCCCGAGAGGACCCAGTGTGTGTTACAGTGAGTGTCTCGAGAGGACCCAGCGTGTGTTACAGTGAGTGTCCCGAGAGGACCCAGTGTGTGTTACAGTGAGTGTCCCGAGAGGACCCAGTGTGTGTTACAGTGAGTGTCCCGAGAGGACCCAGCGTGTGTTACAGTGAGTGTCCCGAGAGGACCCAGTGTGTGTTACAGTGAGTGTCCCGAGAGGACCCAGTGTGTGTTACAGTGAGTGTCCCGAGAGGACCCAGTGTGTGTTACAGTGAGTGTCCCGAGAGGACCCAGCGTGTGATACAGTGAGTGTCCCGAGAGGACCCAGTGTGTGTTACAGTGAGTGTCTCGAGAGGACCCAGTGTGTGTTACAGTGAGTGTCCCGAGCGGACCCAGTGTGTGTTACAGTGAGTGTCTCGAGAGGACCCAGTGTGTGTTACAGTGTCCCGAGAGGACCCAGCGTGTGTTACAGTGAGTGTCCCGAGAGGACCCAGTGTGTGTTACAGTGAGTGTCTCGAGAGGACCCAGCGTGTGTTACAGTGAGTGTCTCGAGAGGACCCAGCGTGTGTTACAGTGAGTGTCCCGAGAGGACCCAGCGTGTGTTACAGTGAGTGTCTCGAGAGGACCCAGCGTGTGTTACAGTGAGTGTCCCGAGAGGACCCAGCGTGTGTTACAGTGAGTGTCCCGAGAGGACCCAGCGTGTGTTACAGTGAGTGTCCCGAGAGGACCCAGTGTGTGTTACAGTGAGTGTCCCGAGAGGACCCAGTGTGTGTTACAGTGAGTGTCTCGAGAGGACCCAGTGTGTGTTACAGTGAGTGTCCCGAGCGGACCCAGTGTGTGTTACAGTGAGTGTCTCGAGAGGACCCAGTGTGTGTTACAGTGTCCCGAGAGGACCCAGCGTGTGTTACAGTGAGTGTCCCGAGAGGACCCAGCGTGTGTTACAGTGAGTGTCCCGAGAGGACCCAGCGTGTGTTACAGTGAGTGTCCCGAGAGGACCCAGCGTGTGTTACAGTGAGTGTCCCGAGAGGACCCAGCGTGTGTTACAGTGAGTGTCCCGAGAGGACCCAGTGTGTGTTACAGTGAGTGTCTCGAGAGGACCCAGCGTGTGTTACAGTGAGTGTCTCGAGAGGACCCAGCGTGTGTTACAGTGAGTGTCCCGAGAGGACCCAGCGTGTGATACAGTGAGTGTCTCGAGAGGACCCAGCGTGTGTTACAGTGAGTGTCCCGAGAGGACCCAGCGTGTGTTACAGTGAGTGTCCCGAGAGGACCCAGCGTGTGTTACAGTGAGTGTCCCGAGAGGACCCAGTGTGTGTTACAGTGAGTGTCCCGAGAGGACCCAGTGTGTGTTACAGTGAGTGTCTCGAGAGGACCCAGTGTGTGTTACAGTGAGTGTCCCGAGCGGACCCAGTGTGTGTTACAGTGAGTGTCTCGAGAGGACCCAGTGTGTGTTACAGTGTCCCGAGAGGACCCAGCGTGTGTTACAGTGAGTGTCCCGAGAGGACCCAGCGTGTGTTACAGTGAGTGTCCCGAGAGGACCCAGCGTGTGTTACAGTGAGTGTCCCGAGAGGACCCAGTGTGTGTTACAGTGAGTGTCTCGAGAGGACCCAGTGTGTGTTACAGTGAGTGTCCCGAGAGGACCCAGCGTGTGTTACAGTGAGTGTCCCGAGAGGACCCAGTGTGTGTTACAGTGAGTGTCCCGAGAGGACCCAGCGTGTGTTACAGTGAGTGTCCCGAGAGGACCCAGCGTGTGTTACAGTGAGTGTCCCGAGAGGACCCAGCGTGTGATACAGTGAGTGTCCCGAGAGGACCCAGTGTGTGTTACAGTGAGTGTCCCGAGAGGACCCAGTGTGTGTTACAGTGAGTGTCTCGAGAGGACCCAGTGTGTGTTACAGTGAGTGTCCCGAGCGGACCCAGTGTGTGTTACAGTGAGTGTCTCGAGAGGACCCAGTGTGTGTTACAGTGTCCCGAGAGGACCCAGCGTGTGTTACAGTGAGTGTCCCGAGAGGACCCAGCGTGTGTTACAGTGAGTGTCCCGAGAGGACCCAGCGTGTGTTACAGTGAGTGTCCCGAGAGGACCCAGTGTGTGTTACAGTGAGTGTCTCGAGAGGACCCAGTGTGTGTTACAGTGAGTGTCCCGAGAGGACCCAGCGTGTGTTACAGTGAGTGTCCCGAGAGGACCCAGTGTGTGTTACAGTGAGTGTCCCGAGAGGACCCAGCGTGTGTTACAGTGAGTGTCCCGAGAGGACCCAGCTTGTGATACAGTGAGTGTCCCGAGAGGACCCAGCGTGTGTTACAGTGAGTGTCCCGAGAGGACCCAGCGTGTGTTACAGTGAGTGTCCCGAGAGGACCCAGCGTGTGTTACAGTGAGTGTCCCGAGAGGACCCAGCTTGTGATACAGTGAGTGTCCCGAGAGGACCCAGTGTGTGTTACAGTGAGTGTCCCGAGAGGACCCAGCGTGTGTTACAGTGAGTGTCCCGAGAGGACCCAGCGTGTGTTACAGTGAGTGTCCCGAGAGGACCCAGCGTGTGTTAGAGTGAGTGCTGCTCGGACCAGGACCTGCAGGAGACGCGGCGCTGCACACCAGGGTTTCCGCCAGAAGGTTGTTATAGCGGCTGTTAGTGTCGTGAGGCCTGAGGAGAGGGTTAGTTAGCAGATAGTTGCCCGTCATTCCTGTTGAATAGATAAAGAGAGGAGTGTGAGATAAGAAGAAGAGAGCTTGAGGAAAACAGAGCAGAAGAAAACAGAATTACATGAGGCGATGGGAGAGTGCATCAGAAGAGCAAACTGTTGGCAGCTCTCATATTTCAGACATGTGAAAAGAACCAAATGCTGTACTTGGACAGTAATATCTCCATTATTCACTAGAGCTGATATGTTTGACTTTACTGGTGTTAAAAATGTCTCTGTTTACAGCATGCAACCGTTCACTGTGCCAAATTACAGAGGAATATTTTTAGATTATACTTGTCTGAGTGAATGAGGCATTTATAATGCACTTTCATATGTACTACTGTACACTCAAAGCACTTTACAATCATGTCAGGGCATCTCTCCTCAAGACCAGTGTGAGCATCCACTGGGATGACCTACAGGAACATAGGTTCTGGTGACTAGGCAAGGCACCCGGTGTTAGGATGCGTTTCGGTCGAGCAGATCACGAGTGGACGACACTAAACACAGCTGTAAACGGGGTTTAAGAGGCTTTGAGCTTGTCCACTTTCCACCAGAGGGAGTAGAAAACACATTAGACCGGATTGCTTTAGTAGTGTAAACGCTCATGTGACCGAATGTGTTCAAACAGCCACTAAAGACCATCTTCTCTCCGTCTACTGATCTAATGGGTAACATTATGAGAAGTGCTCTAGCTAGACAGGGTTTAAGTGCCGACTGGAGACGCAAGATTGGTTTGAAGATGAAAAATGTATCAAACACAATATCAAAATCAAACTCAAAACTCCTGATTTCTAACACAGCGTTCGGCTAGTCTTGAGACTATCACAGCAGAAACTAAAGCTGAAGCTCTGTGTGTTTGTCTGTCATCTCCGGTCGTCTCCATGTGTAAATTGCACGAGCTTATTTTGTCCATTACATTGAAAGATGTGAAAAAACACTACATTTAGTCGAACATAGACCCTCCCCTTGAAGAAATCAGGACAGAAGTGTGTGAAAGTGGACAAAAGTGTGAAAGAGGTGAAAGTCTCTCGTCTACTTGTGATCCGATCCACCAAAACGCATTTTAGTAGCGAGAGTAAACAGAGTCTGAGAGCAGCAAAGACGACTGGAGAAGCCAAGCTTGTCCTGCATCATAGCTGAGCATGAGAGTGACTCAAACACACTCGAGCTCTCGCTCAGTCACCACTAGGGTTGGGTATCGTTTGAATTTGAACGATTCTGATTCCGATTCCGATTCCTTGTTTCGATTCCGGTTCCTGACGATTCTTGATTCCGATTCTTTTAAAAGGCAGGGTCAAAAAAGTTTAGCTAACCTTGCTAACCAATGGTCTTTCTGAAGGAAATAATGCTTTCTGAAGGAAATACTCCTTCTGTCACAAATACTCCTTTAGTCACAAATTTTGCATTTTGCCGAGATTTTGTTATTTTTAAAAAAGTGAAGCCACACTTTGGACCGCCGACATAAGCTACTCATGTTCGAATCGCGGGGTTATGCCAACACTTCCGGTAGACGCTTCTTCGTTGGTGTTGTTCAGCGGTTTCTTCTTCCGCTCGGCGGACTGTGAATATCGAAACTAGGAATCGAAATTTGAACTTTTGAACGATTCCGGGAAAAACAAAAAGTTAGTCCCGATTCCAATCGATACTCGATTCTCGATACCCAACCCTAGTCACCACTGATGCTGTTTCAAGAGCTGGACATCCTTTCATCAGCAACACTTGTGCAGAGCCTAAATCCTTTCTAAAACGTGAGTCGGAAGAATAACCAAGTGACTATTTGCACAATGAGAGTCGTCTGGTCCCACTAGAGCCTCACTTGATCTGCACCCGTCCCAATGCAATGAAAATTAAACAATAGCATATCAAATTAAGGATTTAAAGCCATTCATTGTACTATTCATAGTTTGCAAGAGAAGTCACACCCATAACCAGGCTTTCCTCCATTGACCACCACACATTTATAACTGGGCAAGATATTAAAGTCCACATTCAATCTATACCTTATTAATGCTGCAAACTAGGGTTGTCACGGTACCAACATTTCAGTTCACTTTATTTTACAGCACATTTAACTCCCAAAGGAAGCACTGGGAATAAAAGGTAACATGGGTTATGGTTAGGGGTTAGTACATAGTTATTACCCAGTTATTGTAATTACTATAATAAGGGCATAGTTTGTACATGGGGAACAGCACTGTAAAATAAAGTGCCAGAAGTCAGTCAAACTTTGTGGTTCTTAGTCCCAGTTTCAATACCAGAGCAAAAACTGTTCAATTAAGCACAAAAAAGCTTTGTCTCGTCCATTGCTCATCACTGAAGTTTCCCATATGTTCCCATGGTACAGTTAATCTCTTACTTACATTGTGTTTATACACGTTTGTTGGTTATAATAAAAGGATTCCCGATGGGTTTTTAGCGGACTCTAACTAGCTTACAGACGAGCACCTCTGATTGGCCATTGCTCACGGCTATGATTGTGATTGGCTGTAAAGAGAAACCCGAGAGCGCTGAAAACAAACAGGAACGAGAGCGTTTGGAAGCAGATTGAGTACAGTTACACAGTAAACATACTGATTTAAAGCAGAAAGAAATGCTGTAGAAAAAGAAAGAGAATTGTACTGGTAGATTTGACAACCCCAGTGCATGCAGAACAACACAGAATTTACACAACATTGCTTGTTAAGTCTTCACAGAAAACCATTATAAAGAAAACGTTGCATTCATCTTCTTGGCTCACCTGCTCGCTTATACAGTATACATCATTAATAAATTGACTTTGATCTTATAACAACACTGGTTTAGCACATTAAGGCCCTTTTAACAGTGATTTTCATGTTAAGTGTTTTGGTCCCGCTGTTTTTACTGACTAAAATGCTTCAAGGGATACTCCACTTTTTTTGGAAATAGGCTCATTTTACCACTCCCTCAGAGTTAAACTGTTGAGTTTTACTGTTTTCGAATCCATTCAGCCGATTTCCTGATATAAGTAACCAGACAGTTTCTGGCCCCATTGACTTCCATAGTATACTATATTGTTTCGTACTATGGAAGTCAATGGGACCAGAAACTGTCTGGTTTCTATCTATTCGTTGTTAAAACATTTAGGAAGAAAAATTGTATAATGCATTTTAACGTAATAACTTATGAAAAGATATAATGCATTATAATATACATTTAAGTAAACTGTTGCCAAAACATTTTTATATTTTAAATTAATGCGATGTTCTCAAAGTGGATATGTATAAAATTATTTTATCTGTTTTCATATATATCAGCAATTTTTATATTGCATCATCTAACGTCCTCACTTCAGCAGTCTGTATGTACATCCTCAATTTCCTTAATAATTAGGTAAATTGAGGATAATTACATAAGCCAAACCCTATGGTGAGATACAAGAACAGCTTTCTCATAACATCAGACTTGCAGTGAACATGCAGAAAGGCAAGTAGTGTGTGTATATGTACAGTAGTGTGTGTATATGTACAGTAGTGTGTGTATTTGTACAGTAGTGTGAGTATATGTACTAGTGTGTGTTCCACACCTTGGTTTAGTGTGGAAGTGCTGTTGATATCTCCGGAGATGAAGGAAGACTCGGACTGTTTCCTCACGGTGTCGTTCCACATCCTCCTGATGCGGCTCTGTGGTGATACACACACACACACACGTTCAGTGTTTAATACAGATAATATTCCTGCTCTTAAATCACACACTAAACCCTTAAATAAAGCACTATTTGAGGGACAGCCATCTGCAGTGGTGTCCAAACCATAGTGGATGTTATCGATTGCACTCATTCAATCCCACAATGCAGTGCAATGACGAGTGTACCCTCAACAGCTGCAGAATACCCATAATGTCGTGCCGAGTGAAGTCGTGCCGAGTGAATTCCCGTGTCTTACCAGAAGATGCGCCTCCATTTCCCAATCGCTGGTGCAATGTGGGTACAGGGTAATATCACACAGGTGATGATGTGACCGGATTATTAAATTGCTTAATTAAGGTTTTATACATAGTGTGTAAAATGTGTGTACTTTATCAGAGTATTTTTATTTGCTTTTTCATAAAAACTTCCTAAAAACATAGTTACTCATTCTTTGGAACAGAAGAAATAAGATTGGATCGAGCGGATTGTTTTCAATAATGTTAAAGGAACACTCCGACTTTTTGGGACTTTAGCCTATTCACCTTACCCCCCAGAGTTAGATAAGTCCATACATACCTTTTTCATCTCCGTGCGTGCTATAAGTCTGTTTGACGCACCCACCTCTAGCCTAGCTTAGCACAAAGACTGGATGTGACTGGTTGCAGCTTTCATACTGATCCAAATGAGTGGCAAAATAACGCAAACGTTTTCCTATTTACATGTTGTGATTTGTCTAGTCACATAATGTACAAATAACAAAGTCAAATGAGACACAGACATCTTTTAACCGTATAAAACCTGGGAACTATTCTCTGAAGGCGAAGCACTGCTACTTTGACGGCGTAATAACCGCATCACCTGAGACACGCCGTGGTGAGGAGCGGAGAGTTCGCTCAGTGTTTGGGTAACAGAGTCAGCAATTTATAAATAGTAAAAGCGTAGTTTAGAGTCATGGGTTTTCGCTCTATTGTAAATAGCTGCGACAGTAAACAGGGGAGGTAATACCATGTTTCACAGAATTCCAACTAAAAACGCTGACTGGATGAAGAAATGGCTAACTTACTCTAGATATTTATCCAAACACACCTAAGATTATCAAGGGACATTACGTTTGCTCGGTACATTTCAATGAGGACGACTATTTTGAAAAAATGGAATTTGCCACACGCATCATAATGTGCTGAAGGATACGGCCATCCCATCGATAGCACAGACAGGACAAGTGGATCACCTGCGGCTGAGGTAAGTGTTCCGTTATGTTTTTAGATGACCTACTGTAACAGTGCCTTTAGCCAGATCTAATGTAACGTTAGTGACACTATTATATGATTAGGGTATGAATATGTTTTTATCTTGATGCGGTGCGGACGCGCTTGGGGAAAAAAAACGAGCGCGTTTACCGCATTGAACTTGCACCCTGCGCGCGGCGCGCCTAGTAGCCTAAATTTGAAATAACCATGGAAATAACGAACTTGAGCGTGCAAAAGGGTACGATAGGCTGTGAGTTCATTGTGCAAAAACAATTTGTGCTATTACTTTCCCCTTATTCTATCCTATAGTAATGCAATACTGTATATTATATAGGCTACTGTTGAATACATTTGGTTCAGCTAATAAATTGCATTTAAAATATATTGATTCCTGTAATAATAATTATTTATTCATGTGATATTTATAAATCTGGGTGCGTTTTTGGTTGGAAATCAATGAAACATGGTACTGCATTACCTGGTCTCCCCTGTTTATTGTCACAGCTCATACAATAAAGCAAACACCCATGATAAACTATGCTTTTCTATCTAACGTTAGTAATTGCTGACTCTTTATTCCAACGCTGAGCGAAGCGAACTCTCTGCTCCTCGTCACGGTGCGTCTCAGGTGATTGTTATCACTCTGCCCAAGTAGCAGTGCTTCGCCTTCAGAAAATATAGTATTTATACGGTCAAAAGATGTCTGTGTCTCATATGGCCATGATATTTGCACACTCTGTGACTATACAAACCACAACATGTAAATAGGAAAACGTTTGCGTTATTTTGTCACTCATTTGGATTAGTATGAAAGCTGCAACCATTCACATCCAGTCTTTGTGCTAAGCTAGGCTAGCGGTGGGTGCGTCAAACAGACTTATAGCACGCACGGAGATGAAAAAGGTATGTATGGACTTATCTAACTCTGGGGGGTAAGGTGAATAGGCTAAAGTCCCAAAAAGTCGGAGTGTTCCTTTAAATGTGGACTGATCACTGATCCGGTCGGGGAAAAACTTCTGCTTACAACTCACTGAAATGTTCGAAAACAAACTGAGAAAAGTGTGTTAATCATATAGAGTTATAATGCTGTTAGTGTAAATACAAATTATATTAAGGTTATGACTGTCAGTTGTTTGTGACGCACAAAAAAACAAAACAAAATTGGGCTCATCTGCTCACCCAAGCTGCATTTATTTGATTAAAAAAAAACAAAAAAAAAACAGTAATATGTGAAATATTATTATAATGTTAATCATCTGTTGTATGTGAATATCTAGTAAAGTGTAATTTATTCCTGTGATCAAAGCTGAATTCCAGCATCATTACTCCAGTCTTCAGTCACATGATCCTTACTCTAATTTATAACTCTAATATGAGGATCTGATGATCAAGAAAGTTAACATTTATGATTATTATCAATGTTGAAAAAAGTTGCATAATTTTTTTTTTGAGGATTCTGTGATGAATGAACGTTCAAAAGAACAGCGTTTATCTGAAATAGAAGCTTCTGTAACATTAAACGCTACCGTTCAAAAGTTTGGTATCAATTTTTTTTGTATCATGTGACTGAAGACATGTGTAATGATGCTGAAAATTCAGATTTGACCACAGGAATAAATCACACTTTACTAGATATTCACATAGAAACCGGTTGACTAACATTGGAATAATATTTATACAAACAATATCATTTTTTTCTAGCCTGGCATGCCAGACCTACATCAAGATGTTAGGTCTGGAAACTCTTCATTGACAGGGCTCAATCCGAGGGGCGGGATAAACAGTTGTGTTTCAAATTCTCTCTGCACGCAATTGGATAGCGCTAAAACCAATCAGAGCAACGAAGGTGACGTACTCAGCGGAGCAAGTTGATATATTAAACTTTTACCCTATCCAATCCATAGCTGTCAACATTGAACATTGAAAATAAGGGAGATTTCCCGGAATCCATCCCCAAAATAAGGGATTTTTTTATTTTTTACACGACCCACAAACTTTAAAAATAAAACACTAATCATTAAATGTCTAAAGAGTTTATAACTAGACTACATGTGTGTGAGAGAGAAAGAGACAGTATGTCAGTGTGTGTTTGTGTGTATGAGAGAGAAAGAGACAGTAGTGTGTCATTAAAAAAAATAACATCATAGAGAATGTTTAAATACTAATATCAGCTTACGAGGAAAACGGAGGCGGAGTAGTGGTGCTTAGTGCGGAGTGGTGGAGATGATTCGGGAGAGGTCCGTGCACCATAACCGATCAGAGCGCGCGCTGACACGGAATAAAGCCTTTGTCCTCGACGACAAAATGACAAGTTGATCGTCAAGCAAAAGCTTTTTTGTAACAGCGCGTGCGGCGCCGGCCGCATCCGAGGACGAACGACTTAAACCCGAATATGTCCGAGCTTGCTCTGATCGTCGCAACTCTGTCGTCACTTTGTTAAGCCCGCCCGCCGACTCTATACACGATGTGATTGGCCCTACCAGAGTTGAGTTTTTCCAGCTCAAACGTCTACGGAGAGTTGCTAGACCACACTTTGCTGCAAAATCATTTTTGCTGCCGCTAGGGTGCGTCTAGATTTCTAGGCTAATTTTTTTCTGTATTTTTGATATAAAAAATGCAGCCTCGGTGAGGAGATGTTTTTAAAAAACATAACAATCTTCCCGATCCCAAACTTTTGAACAGCAGTGTACATTTCCTGTAACCAGACGAGCGTAAGAAATCCTTAAATGTGGTTTAAATAAGCACATTTTCACATCCCTGTCTGTCCTGGAGCTCAAACAGTAGAGCGCTGGAACTTGCACCGCATAGGTCATGGGTTCGATTCCCGGGGAACGCAAGAACTGATAAGAATGTAAATGTGTGCTTGAAGTGCAGTGTAAGTCTCTTTGGATAAAAGCGTGAATGCAGAAGCAGGTGTACCTGTGTGGCAGAGGAGTATCGAGCGCTGGACCTGGAGCCCGAGGGCTTGCTCGCAGCGTGAGCTCCTTCAGACGGGACAGCGCTACAGCACTGAGACTGACGCACACACTTGCTGTACTCTTTACGCACCTGTGACAACACATCACAATATCAGCATCACAAACACGAGACAACAACAAAACACTACACTTGGTTAAGCGATTTATGTGGCAGCTACAGGTTTAAAGTTACTATGAAAACAAAGATGAAATAAAAATAAAAGCATTTTGTTCATGACAAATATAACACCCGACTCCAAGCACACCTTCGCTGCCACTGACACACACTGACGACTGGAGAATCAGCCAAATATCACTCATCAGCATGGGGTTGGCATAAAATATTCTTCAAACATTCATACTTTTGCCCTGTGTGAGATTTAACATTTATCTTAGCTTTAGTGTGCATACAGCATGCACAGACTCAAAGCTGGAGTTCAACACTTAAATCCTCTCGTAGGGAAATATGCCATACATGCTGTTTAAATACAGACGGATGCTGATTTCTGCAACAGATGTTCTTCACTTGTCTAACTAGCACAAAAACAAGATTCAATATATTCCTTAAAACATATTAAAAAGGCAAGTATACACACCTGCAATAATTAAATGTGTTAAATAATACAAATACACTGTGTATTTAACCTCACTTTATTTACTAGTGTTAAATTTCACACCTGTTTCATTTCTTTGTTTCTGACTGACATCTGGAATGATGTGTTTAGCGCTGGATACTAACTAGAGCCAGACCAGATTTTCTAAAATATCGGTATCGGGAGTTATAATGGCCGATAAATGCATATTTCAAAAATAAAAATAAAAACGGACGAATCACGCTTCAACCATGTCATGAGTGTTGGAGTTGTATAGTTTGTCCACCAGAGGGCACTCTACACCGTCCCTGCTGGCAACACTCGTGTATAACGCACCACATCCTGCTGATCCAGCCAGAGTCGGGCAGAGAGAACCAGTTATGCATTATCATAATATTTTAGTTAAAACTCAAAATTAACTACAAATAACTAATGTTAGGGAAATCTGTTAATATTTTGTTGCGCGTTTTCAAAATAAAAAAAAATACTAATAATATCGGCCGATACATCGGATTTTAAAGCCAACAAATATTTGTATCGGCATCGGGCTTCAAAATCCTTTATCGGTCGGGCTCTAATACTAACTCTACTAACTCTAAGATGCTGACACTAACTTCACCATTTGATTTTGATTCTGATTCAATTTTATCCTGATTATTCTGGATATACACTGAGCAAAATTATAAATGCAACACTTTTGTTTTTGGCCCCCATTTTTCTTGAGCTGACTTTTTCTATGTACACAAAAGGCTTATTTCTCTCAAATATTTTTCACAAATCAGTGTAAATCTGTGTTAGTGAGCACTTGTCCTTTGCCGAGATAATCCACCTAACAGGTGTGGCATATCAAGATGCTGATTAGACAGCATGATTATTGCACAGGTGTGCCTTAAGGCCAATTTATACTTCTGCGTAGGGTGCGCGCAGTAGGTACGGCGTAGCATACGCACAGACGCGTCCCATACCGCGTACCCTTCGCCGTCGCCTGACGCGCACCTCCTCAAAAATGTAACTACACGTCGCGACGACGCGGACCGCAAGATCGGTGATTGGTCGGCTTGGTAGCATCGCATTTCCTCCTACGCATTTCCGCACGTACCTTCTCACGCATTTCCACCACTGTCTATGATTTCTACAAGTTTCATCTCCTCCGAAGTCTTCTCTCATTTCTGCCTTTCAGTTTTAGTAATTTCACTAAAGTGAACTGTTTTTCCACCTCAATAAGCTCCAATTCCAACATGATCAGCTCTCTTTCACTCGTAGTAACCTAGCCGCGAGGAATCTAAACACAGTGGAACATTAAAACTCTCTGCCGCCAACTAGCAACTAGTTTCGGAGCAGTACTGCAGAGCAACCAAGACCTGAACGCAGAACTATAAATGCTCACAACGGCGTCGCCTACGTGCGTAGCCAACGCCGTACACCACGGCGTACCCTCGACGCAGAAGTATAAATTGGCCTTTAGGCTGTCCACAATAACCGTGTGTCCGCCAAAGCGGTTTTCCACGTGCCTGGCGTATGTTTTCAATTGTTTTTAATGGGAGCGCCGCGTTTTTTAAGTGCCATGAGCGTAACGAGGCGCCCAGCATTTTTTACTGGTTGTGTAATCAAAGCAGTGTCCAATCAAAGCAGAGGAGGGGGGGACTAAACCACACCAATCAACTCTCAAAACATTCTTTCTGTTCAATGACATCAACCAGCAGAGTTATACGAACAACATGGATGAAAAATATTTTTTTAGTATGAAACAAATTATCTGTGAAATCAGCTACTAGTAAACTGAGCTGTGGATATTCTGTATCATAGCAACGAAACGTCTCAACGGAAAAAAAACGCTCTCAAGCGCCACAGCTAGGCGTTTACAGCCGGCTAAAACGCTTTGGTGAACACACGGCCTAAAGGAGAAGTGCTCACTTACACAGATTTAGACAGATTTGTGAAAAATATTTCAAAGAAATAGGCCTTTTGTGTGCATAGAAAAGTCTTCGATCTTTGAGTTCAGCTCATGAAAAACGTGGGCCAAAAAAAAAAGTGTTGCATTCATAATTTTGCTCAGTGTATCTCAGGTACAGTACATGGCAAACTGAAAAAGAAAAAAAAAATGCTTTTTTGCATGTGTATGGTGTGAAAGGATAAGCATTTGTATATACTTGTTTAATTTTTTAATTGAAAGCTTGTTATAACCACTCACATGTAGTGTAATAAAAGTATAATATAAATAATAAATCTGTTATGATTCATAATAAATGAATATGATAATCATAAGGCAATTCTGTCTCTAAATCTTCTTTCATTGTGTAACGCTTTAAACTGGAGTGACTTTTTGTACCGTTCATTATTGAATTTTTAATACACTGAAAGACGTTTCATTCGCAAACATGCCTGAAATAAAACTTGATTTCAACACTTTATATGTTGACTTTAACTGTTATAACTATATATATATATATATATATATATATATATTGTTTAATGCATAGAGGAAATAACCTCTTAAAACAAGCCTTTAAAAAGACAACCTTGATTATTTTTTATTTAAAGTAGCATATGCTCAAAGAAGCCTAGTTTAACTTAAACCGACAAATAAACATCTCAGCCAGGAAATGTCATTATGAATCAATATTTAACACATTCAGTGATGAAGAATGAGGTGTATGATGAAGCTTTCCATTGGCGTCTATGGTTTACCTTCTTCTGCAGAAGACAGTGGAAGATGAAGATGAACATCCCCTGTAAGGTGTTGAAGATCGTGAAGAGGTACGCCATGATGACCGAAGAGTCGTTCAAGAAAAGCAGGCCAAACGACCACGTCAGACAGAGAAGACACAGCAGTGCGAAAGCCCCGAACACCCAGCACCTGCAGACAACAGGACAACGGGTTACAACACATGGAGACAGTCTCAAACACACGGTGTGAAATCGCTGGTGTTTCTGACATCACAAACGACCTTGTAACCAATCAGATCAACATGTGATCGACAACCAGTGGATCTCTCAGTGAGTGAGTGGAGGCGGGGCTCATTTACATATTCATAGAACCGCGCATACTAAACGAGGCAAGGATAAAACATTTAAATGTCATTTTGGTGATCAAAGATGAGTTAAGGGATACAGTTATTGACTACAGGGGGACTTTTACATTGTTATCCCTTTATTTCTCATTTTTCTCTGTTTGCTTATGTATTTATGCTCTCTCTGTGTCCGTTAGATGTTATCAGTGTACAGACGAATGGTGGCGTCGTCCTCAACCAGCGAAGCGTGAGCAAGTTTCCAGTGAATGATTACAATCTACTTTCAGACTGTTGGCCTCATCAACCAAACTACTAGCTTTGTGTGCGCCTTTCTGAACTAGTTTACAGCTGTTTTGGTAACACTTTACAATAAGTTCATTAGTTAAGTAAGGGATCATGTAAATGTAGCCAGTTGTTATCTCAGAATAACATCCACAGGGTGATCAGGGTCAGGTCTTGCTTCACACTGAAGGGGTTTATTCTGAGATAACAAACGGCTGGATGTATATTATCACACGGCTACTTGCCACATCAGTAAATAATTATACATGAAATATTCTTCCCTACACAGCAAAAAGGTAGTAACTACGCAGAATGAAGGGCTTTCACTAGGGCTTTTTCCAGTTACTGTACAAACGAATACAATTTTTCTCCAAAATGACACGTATTTGAGAAATTAACCAAATGATTTAGAAAAAGATTCGTTCATTTTGATGAACGATTTCGAACAGGAGAGTCACAAACGTGCGTCAAAGAACAGAGCAAGGCAACCATTTGAGCTTATAAAACTTAAAATATATATATTTTTTTAAATGAGCGATTGTTTCGCTTGATAAGACCCTTATTCATCGTCTGGAATCGTTTAAAGCCCTTTCAACAGTTTGCACTGAAACTCTCATTTGGACCTTGAATCGTTTGGTTCCCATTGAAGTGCATTATATGGAGAAAAAATTATCAGCAAAAGTTTTTTTAAAGTGAACTACTCCTTCAACCACACTGTGAGACAATTAGCTGTCACACATACGAGTAAAAAAGAGAAGGGCTTTAAATTATCCACCTTATTCTGCTCTAAACAATGCGCGGAAACCAGCCAATTGGTTGATGAAACTTTGATCGAAATTAAGATACAATAAATAACAAACGAAATTCACTTAAAAGAAAGGCTTTGTGGTTTCTCTTTACGATCTCTGTGAAAGTTTTAAAGTCACTTTCAGAGCGGTCATGTCCGTAATGGAGAACTGTCACATCTGTAACGTTGTTTTTTTTTTCCCCAAAAATGCGAACACGAAAAATAAAATAAAAATTATATTTTATGTTCTGTGGAGGCCGACCCTTCTTCATCCGGTTATTAGGCTATTACTTTTGTAATGTATTGCGCAGTGTAATAAAAAATATTTTGCCACCTAAAAGTTAAAGGACTTCATATGGAAACCAAACGGTTCAAGGTCCAAAGACAGTTTCAGTGCAGCTTCAAAGGGCTTTAAACGACACCAGACGATGAATAAGGGCCCTTGACTCGAGTCATGACTCGGAAAAAGATTTGTTCATTTTGATGAACGAGTTCGAACAGGAGAGTCACGAACGCGCATCACAAAACAGAGCAAGGCGAGCATTTGTGCTTATAAAACTTAAACTTTGTTATTTATTTTTTAAATGAGCGATTGTTTCACTTGATAAGACCCTTATTCATCGTCTGGAATCATTTAAAGCCCTTTGAACAGTTTGCAGTTTGCATTGAAAGTGTATTTTGGACCTTGAACCGTTTGGTTCCCAGTGAAGTCCATTATATGGAGAAAATCCTGGAATGTTTTCATCAAAAACCTTAATTTTTTTTCAACTGAAGAAAGAAAGACATGGACATCTTGGATGACATGATGGGGGTGAGTAAATTATCAGCAAAAGTTTTTAAAAAAAAGTGAACTACTCCTTTAATATGAATTTCAACATTTACAACGTCAAAAAAAAAAAATAATCAAAGGTTGCATTTGTTAACATTAGTTAATGCACTGTGAACTAACGTGAACATCTGTATTTATTAGCAAAAATGAACTAATACTATAACAAATGTATTACTCATTGTTAGTTGATGTTAGCTAATACACACTACCTAATGAATGTGATGGTAAAGTGTTCCCGCTGTGTGTTGTTGATTGTAATGAGAGTGAAGCGGCTCACGCTGAGTGTTTCAATTGCCTTTGATTAGCTATTGCATTCATTTGCTCAGTTTTACACGGAATACATAAACATACAACGAGTCTGATCTGTTATACAAGTATAACGCACTCCTGCGATTAGGATTAGACCACCCAGAGTCTCCCTCAGAGGATCACGTGTCCTGAACGGATGATCCTTCAAGCGGACACGATCTCTCTCCGAATCCTGCTGCGATTTTAAAGTTATCATGACTCTGGGTGCAATAAAACATCTTGCGTATCATGGCCCATCTGGAAACATGCGTGGAGTGAATGTTTATGAGCGGGTCAGACTGTGATATCGCATTGCAGGAAGCGGAGCCATGCGTTAATAACACGCCGCTTCAAATGTTAATGCTTCCTCTAATTATTCCCATAAACCCCAATTAGCCGTGTTGGAGTATTTACAGGCCAGATCCATCTCGGTCTTAAAGACAGATGATAGTGGAGATACAAATCACACTCTTATGATTTTCGATCGGGGATACGAAAGCATGCGGATGTGAGATCGATCTTACCGTATGTTCTCCAGTCGGCTGGAGTCAGGTTTCATAGACATCGAGTGTTTCACCATCTTGTACATCGTCACCGCCAGAAAGATGAGGTTGAGCTGTGGGAAAAGATGAAGTGTGTGTGTTCAGAAGACCACACAGTTCTGGGAACGCACGTCTGCTGTTCATCACTCAGATGAAGCGTTTATCAAACATCATTTAATATTCATATGCAGCTGCACTTCTCGGGTCATGTGATCACCGGCTATTAGACGACTGGAGCAAAGCCATTAAATAACAATAAAGAGTGGTTTATTTTGGCTCTGGTACACTATGATCTGAACGATGAAGTATGGCGTTCAATAATTCATAAAGTAGACAGCAACCGCAAAAATGTCACAATGAAAGAATGGATGGGCAACACTTTACAATAAAGTTCATTATGTGTTTACTAACATGAATGAGCAATACATGTGTTATAGTATTTATGAATCTTAATGTTAGTTAATAAAAATACAGCTGTTTTTGGTTTGTTCATGTTAGCTCAAGACAACCTGTGATTTTAATAATGTACTAGTAAAAGCTGAAGTAAACAAAGATTAATAAATGCTGTGGAAGTATTGTTCATGTTAACTAATAGACCTTATTGTAAAGTGTTGGCAGTGGATGAACTCTTATGAACTGGAAAGGTGTTCAATTCAATTCAAATAGATCTAGACTCGAGTTGTACAGGAGCTTGTATGGATGTTCATATTTCTGGAGAGTTAAGCTACCACCAGGAAGATAAAGTGCTTCCATTTGCTCCTAATTTTGATCTATAAAGATCCTGTGAGAGTAACGGCGCCTCCGACGAGTGTTAGTCATAACTCTGGGCCTGGAGACGTCTGCTTGCTGGCGAGAGCTCGTGTTTTTCTTCACCGCCCCAACATGGGAATGTAATTCAGGCTGACCAGAGAAGACCTCTCAGAGAAACACACCGAAAAACCAGTCTCATTTTAAATATGGGGAACAGGAAGAGAGCGAGCTCCGGTAAAAGAGGTCTCCAGACTTCCACAACTTCTCCAAAAAATATCCTTCAATATAAAAACATGATCTTGATTTTAGATCCTCTCTCAAGTTCCTCAAAAATGACTGTAAAACGAGTGGAAAACTCCTTGCAAACGGACAACTTTAATAATGAGGTCATGTTAAGTGTTGGAAATCTACATAATTTCAAAATGTGCGTCACGTATCGGCTTTCAGCCCTGGTCATCTACAACAGGGTACAGGAGCTTCACCACAATACACGATCACAAAACCAAGAAATCCATGAGCTTTACACACACAAGAGAATGAAAAACACACTTCTGGTTCATTTTTTGGAGGCGCACACACATACGAGAGGCACTTTGAAAAGAAAGTCACCGAATTGTTTGCTCTGTCGATCAACAACACAAACCACATGTAAACACCACAGAACTCAACTCAGTGTGTGAGAGGCTTTCAGAAGCGGATCAGCACTGCTCACACACACACACACACACACACACAGGAGGGAGGGAAAGAGAGAGTGTTACTGGGGGAAAAGAAGAGAAAAAAGGCATAAAGTAGATTTGAATATTTTATGACATTTTAAGCCTCCTCAAAATAAAAGTCAGACGGCATAAGAACAGGTTTAAACTGTTGTACGGTAGAGCTGCGATGGCAAACACATGCTTCGCGTCTGTGAAGGTTTCTATTTTATGTGGATATTGGGACACAAGCTTTGTTTACTACATAAATAATAGTTTAGCAACTAAATGTCACATTGTGAATATGAAAACATGTGGAGGTGTGTGGACTGACAGGATTGAGCCGTACGTCAGCTTTGTGTTCTCTGAGAACTTCCACACACTTAATGATAATAATAACAATCATTTCTCACATTTGAAGAGCGCTTTTCTCTGTCCTCAAAGCACTTTACATATGGATGATGCAACGGCAGAACGCCCAACATACACACACACACTTGGAGTGGAGACAGAATTGATGTTTGAATCAAAATGACTTCATTTTTTTTTCCATTTTTTTAAAAGAAAATGGCAGTTGATAATAATCGGAATCGATGCTAATCGGAATCGATAATAATAGGAATTGATGCTAATCGGAAACGATAATAATCGGAATTGATGCTAATCGGAATCGATAATAATAGGAATTGATGCTAATTGGAATAGATAATAATCAAAATTGATGCTAATTGGAATCGATAAGCACGATCAGAATTGAAATCTCTACATTTAAACGATACCCAACTTCATTCCCGTATTAATTCAGTTAGTTATACGTATTCCTGAAGCGGTAAATATGAATAGAGTTGTGGTGAAGAGGAGATTTCTAACGGCAGGAGAAACAGGTCGACTGACACTAGAAAAGCCCTGTGTGTGTGAGAGAGAGATAGAGATAGTGATAGGGAGAGAGATAGCGATAGAGAGAGATAGCGATAGGGAGAGAGACACTGGGAACGAGTAATCAATTATGAAGCCAGGCTCGCACAACCACCTCAACACTCCTCCATCTCACCCTTACACTCATTCCCCAAACACACACACACACACACACTCACACCAAGCTGGAGTTAAATAATCCAGCGGGTGTTCAGAGACCTGAGGAGGACACACTCATGTTTTTGAATGAAGTCTCTTATGCTCACCGAGCATGTATTTGATTAAAAATACAACAACAAATGAATTAATATTTGTAATATTCTGAAATATTATTGCAATGTAAATCAACTGTTTTCTGTGTGAATATCTAGTAAAGTGTAATTTATTCCTGTGATCAAAGCTGAATTTCAGCATCATTACTCCAGTCTTCAGTCACATAATCCTTCAAAAATCACTCTAATATGAGGATCTGATGCTCAAGACACATTTATGATCATTATTAAGGTTGAAAACAGTTATTTACATTTTTCTTTCAGGATTCTGTGATGAATGAAAGTTCAAAAGAACAGCGTTTATCTGCAATATAAGCTTCTGTAACATTAAACACTGCCGTTCAGAAGTTTGGAGTCAGTGAGGATTTCTATTGTATTTTTTGGGGAAAGAAATAAAAGAAATCAATACTTTTATTAATCAAGGATGCATTAAATTGATCAAAAGTTACAGTAAAGACATTTATAACATTACAAAAAATTCTATTTAAAATAAATGCTGCTCTTTCGAACTTTAATTCATCACAGAATCCTGAAATAAAAATGTAAAATAACCATTTTCAAACTTTCTTTAACATTGATGAAATTAATGTTTTTTTTTTGAGGATCAAATCCGATATCTGAGGAATATTACGCTGCTGTCACTTTAAGAGCTGCACAGATCCAATATACTAAAACACACACGTGTGCATGTGTGTGTGTGTGTGTGTAGCAAAGAAAACGGCACACGAGTCGTCTCATGCTCAAATGGTGTAAAGGCATATTGATAGTCGATAAGAGGAATCTAAATTTTTATTTTATAACAAGTATCTGATTCCCGACCCTAGGGACGACTCTAAATATAGTGGACTTGAATCCAATCGAACATCTCTTTATGACCTCAACATGGATGATGACATGGCAAAATGAAACAACAAAACAGCATCAATTATCAACCGATGGAAAGAAAGCTCATATTACTGAAAAACCGCATATGTTACCAAGATATGGGAACACTATACAAATCAGGGTTGTGTATGGTCAAATATTGTGATGCACAATTCAACATAATGCAAAAAAAAAAACACACACAAATCTCTCTCATTGCTGGTCAAAAGGAAGTATATCATCACTAAAGTATTGTCAATGTTTCTGTAGGCTTTCTGGTGCAAGTTCTCAACACCTAAATAAAGGTAGTCATGTTAAATGTGCAAAACTTACCATAATGATGAACGTAACAGGGCCGATGAAACTCCAAATGAAATGATTATCAACCCTCAACCAACAGCTGGAAAGAAGGAACGAGATAATTAACCACCACACAAGCAATTACTACAACCATCAACACACTGCAATGTTTGGAGAGGGACAACCACTTCCATTGGACAGCGTTTGGCAACCCTGTTCCTGGAGGCACACCAACAGTAAACATTTTCAATGTCTAAATAATCTGCCAAAACAGGTTTGAGTAATTGTTTTTATTGATATTAATGCCATAATAGACACATGCAGGTCTGTATCTGCATTAGGGCTGACACTGTTCAACTTTTGAGTACACTGAATGGATTTTAAAATCGATTTTCCATGTCTAATGACATTTCCAGTTTCAACACCAAATATAGGCAAATCCACAGACACCTAACAGGCATAGCTGGGTTTCAGTCACGTGATTATGACGACGCGCGGAATTCATTTGGAGGGCAGGGAGTGAAGAGCGCAATGGACGAGATGGAGGAAAGTACGTACTGTACTACGTTACACGCAGTGTTAATTTCGACAGCAAATTTTGATTTAGTTTTAGTCTTAGTCTTTTGACTAAAATGCAATTTAGTTTTAGTCATATTTTTGTCATCTGAATTGTTTTAGTTTTGGTCGACGAAATTCAATATGATTTTAGTCGACTAAATCTACAGTAGATTTAGTCGACTAAAATATAATGGGTTTAGTTAAATTGTAATGCATTAATTTAGAATTTAGAATAGAAGAATTCTATTTAGAAGAATTACGGAGGAATTACTAATAGAAGAATTATGGATAACAGTACCGAATAAAGATCTTTTTTGCATCGTCACTCTTATTCATATCTATATGCCTGCTCTACTCATTCTCCCAGACGTTCGCATTTTTTAACGTTTTATGATCAGCACGTTACAGTACAAATGTGCGCATCCACCACTCACGCAGGGCATCAGTTCTGACTGGATCGCTTCCCATATCTAACATTTTCGTCTAGTTTTTATTTGTTGATGAAAATGTCAATAGATTTTCGTAATATTTTTTGTCATTCAAAATTAGTTTTTATTTAGTTATAGTCTCATTTTCGTCTGTGAAAAAATGTCGTTGACGAATTTAACACTGGTTACACGCTATTAAGAGAGAAAGATACATGCAAAAAAATCAAACATATGTTGGACATGATCCTTACGTTATGAAGAGGGGTGATTTTTCAACTGAATAAATATTTTCCTGCCATCAAGGCTGTAGATATCAGCAACTACCTCGTCTTACAGACATACTTTGAGTTTACAAAGTTCGGAAACATAACGCATTACAGAAACATAGCCACTTAAGTTGTATTAAGTCGAATACGAAGTGATCATCCTCCCGACCACAGACATAGGTTTGCAAGCCGTTTTTCCGAAGTTTTTCGGTCAATTTCTAGCATTTCCCCCCCTTATGAACGACAACTTTTGGTACAAGATAAAAACTACTTGTGGTTTGATCGATTTAAGTAGTGATAAACAACGCCAAAAATAGGTATATTGTGTGTTTGTTATAGTTCCCCAGATAGCAAACTGACATTGAATCAACGTGGAAACATGACATCGAAACAACGTTGATCTGACATTGTTTTGCTCATCGAATTAACGTTGAACCAACGTCAGACGCGTCATTCTTTCAAAACTAACGGAAAATCAACTTGAAATCAACGTTGTTTCAACGTTATGAAAGCTAACCAATTTTCGATTTTCATTTAGCTTTGAAGAATGCCGCGTCTGACGTTGGTTCAACGTTAATTCGATGAGCAAAATCAACGTTGTTTCGATGAGAGACGTCGTTTCCACGTTGATTCAATGTCAGTTTGCTGTCTGGGCTTTCTTAATACAGCAAATCACTTCCTCCATTTGCATTTCGCGCCATGGCAACGCAGTGGCCATGTTTCGTGCACCATGACAAACAGGAGCGCAACATTCAGAGATTGAGAATAACACCCTCGACTCGCCAAATGCGGGTACAATTGAACTTTGGCGGGAGACGCTGTCCAATCACGAGCCAATCTGGCGTGTTTCTGTGTTTACTCGCTTTGCTGGGGACGTTTGTGCAAGACAAATCTGCGCAGATTTAGTGCAAATACGCAACTCGTGATCCTCATGATTTATTAAATACAGCGTATAGCAGAATCTGCACATATCTGGCTTACTTGAACACACACGTCACAGCGCAACACACAACGGTGCGCTTTTTCACTTGCACTGAAATAATAGCGAATATTAAAAAGCATTTGGTTAACAGAAAAGACATTGTATTGACTAAAACGATTCCCCATTTTCGTTTTCAAAACTTGCGTCCGATCGATTGTGCAATCGATTTCCGAACGTAAAGTGACAGCCCTAATCTGTATTTAAATGGCAAGACCCAATATTTTGACATCAACAAAAAACATTACTCACGCTTTCCTCGTCCCGTAGCTCTTATAGTCGATGGCTGCGGAGATGCCGACCACCACACAGGGGAACAGGTAGCCGGATGCGTAGTAGTACTTCCTTCGAGAGAACTCGCTCTCAAAGACCTCCACAAGCATGAGGAACAATTGAACGCCCTCCAAACACATCCAGGAAAACGCAGCGAGAAAGAAGAAATGCAGAACTCCAGCAATCACAGAGCAGATCATCTGCACAGAGAGAAGTCACCGGAGTTTAGCCGTTTATAGAAGATCTATAGAAGAGCAGAGGCATGTAACGGCAGAGAAAATGTATATAGAGACATGCCTCAATCCTCAATACAACTATATAGGGAAAACCCGTAACGCCAAAGATGGCGGTTGTATGCACATGCCCCGCCCCTCCCGCTGGAAAGCCAATCGTCTGCTTTTAACAGTCAAGCCGGGAAACAATTAAGCCTATCGTCTGGTTCCACCATGCGTAGTAAAACTATAGACTGTGGGGAAAAGGGCGTTTTAAACCTTATTTTGGGGCCAAGTCATCAAACTTTTTCAGCGATTTTTATCATATTTTACTGCTATTTCTATACATAACAGTTTTTTATGTCCCGGTGACCAGTGAAAGTGCAGTTCTGACTCTCTGCCCATTCATTTAGAAAGGAGCCTGGTCTTGTTAGTCCGAAATAGCTGCCCGGAGGCGTTGCCAAGATGGCGGCCGAGTGGCATGACTTGCCTAAAAGGACTTTGGTAACGGTCACTCCTACAACACACTTCGCCACAGTATAATGGATCCGTGCATCAGGTCTTAAAGTGCCGCAAAATTAAATATGAGATAAAATTAAAAATATCTATATCTATAATATCTAGATTTTCCCCATGGTATTGCTGTCAAAAATGTGGCCTGTGAAAATGCAGAGTGAATGTAATGCCTGGTTCAGATTACACGATTATTTTTGTCTGTTACAATAGTCACTGTGTCAGATTACACGATTTTGACTACTAAAATCTTGTCGTGGATGAGAAACATGTCAGACTACACGTTGCTTCTTGACCAGCCATCGCGTGCCGTCTTTAATGAGGCGTGTGATGTCATCGAGAAGGCGAAACTAGTAGCGAGTGACTTTTGGAAACGAAGTAAACAAACAATGGATGAAGCGGTGACTGTTGTATTGGCTGTCCTGTGTTCAGAAAAAAGTTAAAAACGAAAGAAAACCAAACAATGGACACGTTCCTGGATTGCTCGAAGAGGACACTATGGGCTGTCAATCCTCCAAAGAGAACTTGAGGTAAAATATATATTTTTACTTTTAGTTTTAACGTTAGCACTATCGTCTCTCTTTCGTTTCGCCATTTTTGAAAGTTGTGTACGGAAAAGCTTCTGCGCTCTTATTGGTCAACCTCATACATGTGACGGAACCGTCGTGGACGACCGTTAAAAAAATTAAACATGCTAGTCTTTTTGTTGTTATGTCATGAAGCGTCGCAGACGCGACGTAGGTTGTCGCCCACTATGACACACTATACGCGATGATACAATCGAATCTTGCATCCCGACGCCCGTTGTTGTTTACGAATCCCCACGACACCCTACGTCAAACGGATCGTGCCAAAACTAAAAGCTAAAATCGTGTAATCTGAACCAGGCACTAAAGGAGTAGTTCACTTCAGATGTTCATGTCTTTCTTCCTGCAGGATAACCTTTCAACGTGATTACGAAATGTGTGGCGCATTACAGCTAGTGCAACTGGAGCATTTGTGATTAAAAAAAGTATAAAATTTTTTATTTTTTATAAAATGTGGTTTGTTTAAAAAAGACTCTTATTCCTCGGCTGGATTGTGTCGAGACTTTGAAGCCGCACTGAAACTCACATCTGGACCTTCGACACGTTGGGCCCCACTGAAGTCACTATATGGACAAACATCCTGGAGTGTTTATCAAAACCTTCATTTCTTTTCCACTCAAGAAAGAAAGACATGAACATCTTGGATGACGTGGGGGTGAGTAAATTTTCAGGACATTTTAACTCCTTTAAGGTGCTCACACTATCTAGAGGTGGGCGAGTTGCCATTGTGTTGGCATATGATGTCATTAAATATTGCAGCTAACTAAGGTTGAGACTGAGATACTACAAAAACATTGAATTCAATACAGTCACAGTTTATTTGTTTGGCGTTTTGGATATCAGGAAGAACACCCACCGGAGGTTCGGTCATGTTGATGCCCACAAGAAAGAGAAGCTCTGCAATGAAGAGGTTGATGCACAGGTTCTTGTGGATTGTGTTGCGGTCACTCTGAAGGCCTCGGAAGAAGCAGAAGGTGAAAATGCTAATAGCGAGGCAGACAAGCGAGACGGCGATGCCCATCCGCGTGATGACCGTCAGCAGGAGCTCGTGAACGCTCCCCTCACCCTGGAAAAGTAAAGATTAGCATTAGCATTTATGCCACGTTCTACTTAACGCTAACACTTCACTTGTCAGAATATGAGTGAGAATTGACTTTTTATTTTTGAATGTGACTAGAAAAACTGGCCCAGTTTCAAATGCAAAAAAACAACAACCCTTAATTAACTTTTCCAGTAAATGTACCACATCTGCTAGTCACTCATGCATAGGCTTTCCATCTTGTTATTGTCTACTATTTACACATCAGCAACAAGAGTCCATTAAAACCTGGGCACTTCCAGCGGAGACAGTTACATAGATCACAATGGAAGCTCACGTCTGGTATAGAGCGAGTGTTTGACAGCAGACATCTTAAATAAGACTTCAACATCTCCTAGTGCTTATATCATCCATCTTTCATCTTTGTTTAATTAAATAAATATTGCCAAAGACATTTTAACTCTGGCAACAGGTTCTATTCACACATCGTCCAAACAAAAAAACAATTCTGTTAAAGTTTAGCATGGAAACACCAACAATTGGCTTGTATCTTCAATGACACTGTATTAAACCATGACAGGACAATCTTGAACCAATGTCTAATATACCCCTTTTTCACCAAAAAAAGAACTGGTTCGGAACTGGTGCTGGTTCAAAGTTGGTTCGGAGTTGGTTCAACTTGCTAACCGCTACAGAACCTGTTTGTTTTTCCACTGACTAGAGCGCCCTGGGAACGACGTCGTTACGTCACTGTGTACGTCGCCATACGTCTTAGCTAGAAATGCTTGCAAATACAACATTACTTTCGGATTATCTCTAACTCGTATACCAAGAAAGCTTTAAAAACAATTGAAATATGTAAGTCTTTTAATCTTTTCGTTTGATATGTAATCTTTTCTGATAAGTTATGAACCCCTGTAATTAATTGTGTCTTTTTTTCTTTCCATTTATTTGTTCTATATTGTGACTTTTCATCTTTGCTTCTAATGTCTTCAATAAAAAAAAAAAATACAAAAATAGAAACGCTTGCGTTAACTTCAAGCATAACAATTACAAAGGCGGACTCCATGGTGTTTCTGCAAATGTTTCTCTTGGCTTTGCGATCCTTTATTATGGTCAGAAAAGATGTTCAGAACACATCTAAATCCGCCCCAGCCCCGACGTAAGCATGACATAGACATGACACTAGTCCAGCAAAGAGTTGGTGCCGCTTTGGAACCAGTTCCCCTGGCCGAGAACCGGTTCTTTGGCTGTCGAAACACAAAGAACAGGTTCGCGCGCAGACACCGGCTCCAAACCGGCTCTCAAAATGCTTTGGTGGAAAAGGGGCTACAGATACAGATTTTGATTAGTTAATAAGACGAGGGCTATGTCCACACTAGTGAGATTTCGTTTGTCGTGTTTTGGTAGCGTAATAGTCATTTGATGACAAATTGCGGAAGGAAACCTAACAAGGGAGCTATTGAGGACAGCAACGCCTCCATTTTGGTCCGTCAACACTGAAACACAACCCCAGAGTTTTCAAACTAAAACTGGGTCTGCAGCATTTCCAAAAGTCTCCATTTTCGAGGGTCGAAACTCCGGAGTAGCGCAACCGTAGTAGACGTTAAGCGTTTTAAAACCTAAATTCACTGGTGCAAACGTAGCCTAGGTACTACAATGCCTAAACTAGGGGTCATCTGAATGAATGAGGCATTTATATAGTGCTATTCATATGTACTACTGTACACCCAAAGCGCTTTACGATCATGTCAGGGGTCTCTCCTCAACACCAGTGTGAGCATCCGCAGGATGATGCGACGGTGGCGCCAGTGCGCTCACCACACACCAGGTCCAGGTGGAGAGCAGAGATAGAGTGATAGAGCCAATTCAGTGGATGGGGATTATTAGGACAGGCAAAGGGCCAGTGGAGGGAATGAGGCCAGGACACCAGGGTTACACCCCTACTCTTTACGAGAAGTGCCATGGGATTTTTAATGACCACAGAGAGTCAGGACCTCGCTTTAACGTCTCATCCGATGGGCGGTTGTGGGCAGAAAGGTTAAAGGTTTTCATTAGCCCCTTTCACACAGAGATTCCAGAAAATACACGGATAATGTGACCCGGCATTTGTCCCGGGATTGTTTGATTTCGGTTCATTCACACTGCCAGTGATTTGCCGGGATCTGTGAGTGCGTTCACACACAACCCGTAAAAATCCCGGGAAGACACATGACGTCAGGATGAGACGTATAATGGATGCATCTAAACCATGTACATGCTCATACCGTTCCACAAAGCTGGTGGCGCGGATAGCGAGGAGCTCCTGGTCTCTGCTTCGCTCCAGTTTGAAGGTATTTGTTCGTCCTTTCTTTGTTGATGAACACAAACTTTCTTCTAAGAGCAACAGAGTCGCGCGATGGCACGAGCGTAATCACTATGACACACCCCTTACAGCATTGGTCCTGGCTTTTGTTTACACAGCGCGCATTCTGGGACTGATCCCGGCAATGTTACTAGGTCCCAAACCCAGGATGAGTCCCGGTATCAATCCCGGATCAACGCGCTGTGTGAAAGGGGCTATTAAGAAATATCTTTAGTTTAATACACCCACCACAGGCTCAGATGTGCGTCCTACAGCAATTTGCTAGCCCCTCTTTATCTTGTAATAGTTTCTCAGAGTGCACGACTGCCATTACACTGAGAGAAGCCATCTAGAAACAAGCAGTGGGCCGATCAAGCTTAGATGCACGTCCCATCTTTCAGTGCTCAATTGTTGGACCTTGTGGTGGTGCTCCTTTTCAGCCATAGCCATTGACTGCTTCGCATGGTGGCCTCCAAGAATGCCTTTATTGTTGTTCTGCAGGACCGCTCCTCCTATTTTCCACCACAGGTCTTTCCAGGTAATTCCTCCCATCTCATCCAGCAGTCTTCCTCAGCTTTAGCGATCCCAGTCACTTCTTGATGGTGCACATCCTCCCCCACAAGTTCAGCACATTCAGCTGTTGCCTTTTGCATCGTGGGCTTGTATGTTCCTCGCCTAAAACCTATTCTTCCATGTTGTTCCTGACGATGTCCTGGTGTAAAAGGGCTGATTTTGTGCCATGGACCGCTAATGCTGGATTGCATTTCCTTCCCTTATGATTGGAGCGGGTTCTCCCACTACAATATCCTCGGACTGTCTGAGTATCATGTCTAACTTAACTTTAGCACATCTGTTTTCCTCGGCAAGGTTAGTAATTGGGAATGAAATGACCCCGTTTCCATAGGGTTTCCATCTTGGTAATCCAAGCAACTTTCTCGTATGAGAGCCAACCTATTACCTTGTGCAAATGACTTTGCACAAGATAATTGGCCTGAAAGAAATTCCAAACTGGGCCCTGTGTGTCCTGGGTGAGCGGTCACTGGTCAGGGATGATATCCCCCTTATGTGTTTCACTTGCATGATGTTTAGGTTCACATCAGACCAGCATCCGAAGCTTTTAATTGGTTTCTCCAGCACTGCACACTGGAAACAACTGCTGGAAAAATGACCAAATTCTCCACTAAAACAGTAACGTACTGTAGAAAACAAAGCAATTGGGCAATAGTTTAACTTACAGCCCATTTTCAACAGTAATATACTGTGTTTATGGATTATTTAAGACACAATGCATTGTGAGCAGGTGCATTTTTGAAGCAACGGGAGTACGAGCAAGTCTTCGCAGAGATCACGACAGGAATAAATGTGGAAAATAGAAGAAAACGAACACTAAACTGGAAGTTTTTGATTTCTCTCGAGCAGTGACCGATGAGCTGGAACTGAACAAGCCCGAGAGTGAAGTGACTGATTATAAACCCGTTACACAGAGAGGGTCAGATCCGGTCCATTCACGCTAATGCATCATTTATTCCCCACTTTCAAGACTTCCAGACCGTATGACACTCTTGGTGACACTCAGCCTGAGGGTTTGGCCGTCAAATGTTTGTTAGTGGGAGAAAAAAACAAAAACAAAAAACAAATAACCAGTCAAATCTGGTTTGAAACATTATTGATTATTAAAGAGCCCCTATCATAGCATTTGAGATGTTCCTATTTTTGTTTTGGGAGTTCCCAAAAACAGTTTAACTTGCATGCAAGGATAAAACACACTTTATTTGTCTTATAATATGCATTTATTTTTACTCGATTTGCTCAACGACTCCCAAATGATTCGTTCGACAATTCATTTTCCCAAACACCTCCTTTGAGTGACTCGAATCTGCGGCGATTGTTCAAATGACCCAGTCAGTTGTTATTGGTAAACCGTAGGCAGAGACTGTCGGCAACGGAAAGCCCATAACCAGGATTATAGCTTGTCAAGTGTTGAAAATTGTATAGTGTTCGAAGAAACGTGTCAGAAAAAGTGCACTTTCCACACGGTCCCTTACTCGGGTTTCCGTCAAGAGCGAGCTTTCCTGGCGAAACTCACATTGCGGCGGCTTTTGAGGAGCAGTGCTTATTATATAGAGCGAAGTCATATTTGGCTAAGTCGTTTAGGAGGTAATTGCCATTTTTCAATGAATGTCTGGTGAATATCAAAAACAAAAACTAACTTTACCCCACTTAGAAGCTGCGCGGAGTGTACACAACACACACAACACAATATAACTATATTGTGCATGCTACAGAAAACATGGTAGCAAACATTACTAATAATACTTACAGATTGTGATTCGGAGGAGGACGAACCTGAAACACTGGATACTGAGCCCTCCTTCAGGAACAACCGGCTTGCGAATCCACATTTGAATTCACTTATGTTTTTGAATGATTCGCCTTTAAAATGATGAGAACACTATATTGTTGTGGTATCGTTGCAAATATGAACTCTAACCACTGATTCTTCACAAGCTCGTCCCTGGACAATGAAAACAAATCTTTGCAATGTAGAACACAGCGTCTTCTCGACATGATGCTATGATGAAGTATTTGAATCTGTTCTAGACGTCACTTCAAGTTTACACTTCCGTCTGCGCGCGCAGTTGCTGGGAGCGACCAATGAGCTAATGTTTTGTATCTACGTCACGACGAAACAGCTAATGACTCGTTTCAAAAACAATTCATTTCATAGACTCAGAGTCGACTCTCACTTTTGAAAGACAATAACTTTACATACGGTGCACTTTCAGATATAATTCTTTGCAGGATGTTTTCATTCCCTTAGAGCTATATTCCACACCATATGAACAGTCATTTTCAAAAATCCATGATAGGGGCTCTTTAAACTTTTAAAAAACACAATTCCGTTATAAGATGTACAACAGAGTTTTCTTTTCTGCACTTTTTCTTACTCGCATGCATTTTCATGTTGCTTTTACTCTTGTCTGTATTTTTGCCCATTATTTTTACCACCTCTTTATTAGTAGCCCATTACTGTTGCCTGTGTTTTTACTGCAGTAATTTCCTGTGTGATTTTAATTTCAAACTATTGAGTTTCCCTTTTAACCCAGAGCTGTGTTGCCAAAATGACCCAAATTGGGTTGTTTTTACCCCACCATATTGTAAATTGAAATATTGATATAATGACCCCCAGAACGGTATTTGGCCCAATCCCCAAAACATAATATGAAAACAAAATATCTACGCAATATGTTTACATATAGGCAGAAAATATTTTACTGTCAGAATATAATACATCTTTACTGGGAATATAATACATCTATCCACTCTTTGTGCCTTAAAAATATAGTTTTTACACACTTTTTTCAGCAATTTCAAAGAACTTATAGATAGTGTCATGGAAAATTAGCAGCAAAGCGTTTTTAAAAACACTTAATATTCACTGTAATATGACATTTCAGTGCTGGATGTGCTGAACACAACTAGTAGCTGATTTCCTTGCATTTCTGGCAGCTGAAATCAATTACTTTTCACACAGCTTATTTAATAAGTGAATATTTAAGCAGCAGTTGCAGTGATGCACCACAAAACCCATCATTTCCACATTCATTACAGCTCAAACCACTCTTTTCAGCGCTGAAAATGGAGATAACATGGTGTTATCAGACAACTGCTACTGCTGTCATGTCATACTGACAAAACTGCCTTGTTCCCAGAAATATACTAGTGACACAAGAGCGTCATTCATCAAAGTAGAATAAGAATTATACTATTATTAACAACATGCTCCATTATATTAATTTGTTCTGTTGTAGAGATACATGACTCAGTATGGTTACAGTCAAACCAAAAATTATTCAGACACCAGATTAAATTCATATATAATAAATATTATTTAAATATATATATATATATATTATGTTTTCTCACTAGTGTGTGCAGGACACTATTGTTTTATGTAAGTGAGGAGAGCAAAATAAAGTAAACTGTGACATATTATACCCAGAAATTCTTCACACAGTGACTGTCAGTAAAATATGTACAAATTTGGGAGCAAATATTATTATTTACTGAGACACTCTGACCTGATCATGTTTTCTTCAGTGTTCACTCACCCCATGTGCATCTCGATGGGCCATGAGGATGGCGAAGTTGGTCAGGTGACTGCAGGAGCAGGTGGTGTGCGTCTTGTTGGTGTCCAGGAGTTTGCAGCCTTGTGTCGACCAGGATCCTATCATGCTCCGCTCCGAGTAGTTCCAGAACGAGCAGTTTGGGTTGAAGTAGTTCTCGGTCTGATGAATGAGGAAACATGTCTGTTTATTTGCTGAACAGATTTAACCCTCTTAATAACAAAGGCACAATGTTTTACATCCAAACTGTAGTTTTTCCATGATCAACAACCTCAATTAACTCTTTCCCACCAGTGTTTTATTTTTAGGTTTGCCAGTCAGCGCCAACATCTTTGATCATATTCACAAATTTGTTAGGATAACATACACCAATGCAATTTTTTTCTAAATGTCACAATCATTTGTTAACAAAAAAGTATTCATTACTTCAATGAGCTCATTGTTTATGCCTTAAATTATGACATTGTTTAAGTAAGATAACTGTGTGATGTATGCACATTTCTGAAAGACGCCTCTGAAAACAGATCTGTCGAGATTGTAATGTGGACTTGTGCATTTTCTGTAAATCTGCTTTGAAAGGAAGCTTATTTTGAAAAGCGCTTTACAATTAAATGTGAATTTAATTGAATTTAATTGAATAAATGATGGAAAAACTTGTGAACGGCGGGGAAAGAGTTAAGACTCCCTAACTTTAACTCAAATGCATTACTTGCCGATTCAAAATAACATCCCTTATATATTAAATTACAACAAGACATTCCAGTTACCAAATATTTAGCAGTTGAAATGCGAATGGTTAATAAATCTTTCTTATTTATGCATGATGCACACATACAGACAAAATAAAGCAATACATGGAAAACAAAAAATGGAAATGCTTTACAATTACTGTAGGTTCATTAGTTAATGTATTAAGTTACCTAACATGAACTAACAATGATTCTTCCGTTCTCGTCTGTCAGTCATATAATGGAGGTCTATGGTCACCACCTCAAAGAGCATGCACAGAGAAGTCCAAATTAAACATGATTTAATGACTCGTAAATGTAAGTACACATTGATGGCCTAAGACACGAAACGAGCGGTTTGTGTGAGAAAACGAACAGTTTTTATATAGTTTTACCTCTTGTAACCACAGCCACGTCCAAGTGATCTGAGGGCGCGGGTGCTTAAATATATAAAACAATATAAATACTGTTCGTTTTCTTACACAAACCGCTCGTTTCGTGTCTTAGGCCATCAATGTGTACTTACATTTATGAGTCATTAAATCATGTTTAATTTGGACTTCTCTGTGCTGCTCTTTGAGGTGGTGACCATAGACCTCCATTATATGACTGACAGACAAGAACGGTTTGACCTAAAAATATCAAAATTGAAAATACTGTGGAAACAAAGACACCTACATCTTGGATGCCCTTTTTAAAGTGAACTATCCCTTTAACTGAGATTAATAAAAGCTGTAGTAGTATTGGTCATTCTTAGTTCACATTAACTAAAGTATTTAACTAATGTTAACCAATGAACCTTATTGTAACGTGTTACACAAAAATAAGATCTTTAACCGTCTTACATCCAAATGCTCCAGCGTGAAGATGAGCGGCTCGGCCACGAACACGCGGCTGGACTCTTTGTTGATGGAGGCGGAGAGGATGTGCGAGTTGACGGTCAGCGTGTGGTTTCGGACTCCGCCGTCGCCCGTCAGCCTCACTGTGGCGTTCTCCGTACTGAGGAAATGCCCCAAGTGCTTATACAGGACAAACACCAGCTTGGCAATGCCTTGAGTAAAGACACCACGAGAGAAGAAGACACCATGTTATTACAGGGTTGACAAACAAACAAGCAGAACCTGGTTAAAATGGCCGCTAGGGTTTTATTTTCCTTCTAAATAAAAAATCTGACATTTTCTTACTTATTTTGAACTTCCTCTTTAAGGTAAACTACTAGAGTGATTTCTGTGATTTTAAAACGATGTGGAGGAAACACTCGCGCTGAATGGACCCGCGCGGCTCTTAAAGGGACAGCGCTAATATTCCTGCGGCCGTCTCGATAATAACACAAGAGAAAATGCACTCACTGTTCTTCACTGAATAACCTTTGCAACTATATAATGTAAATGACATTTGTGCAGTGTTATTTCTAGTTTCTCACCCTGAGTGCCTACAAATATTAAAACACTGTTTATTTCAATTGTATATTTGTTCAGTTGTGTTTATTTGTTGGGATCACTGAGTAATTACTGAGTGTTTACTTGTCTTTCATGATGCTTGAAATGTATATTAGTTATTATATATTTAAAGGGATAGTTCACCCAAAAATGTAAATTCTGTCAGTATTTACTCACCCTCATGTTGTTCCAACCCCGTAAGACCTTCGTTCATCTTCGCAACACAAATTAAGATATTTAAGATATTAAGATCGCTCCTGCATACAGTCCATAGGCTTCTTGAGGGACTGGCTCTTGCTGTCCCCGAAAAGTCATTAAAGACATCGTTAAAATAGTCCAAGTGACTACAGGGGCTCAATCTTAAGTTTATCAAACGACGAGAACACTTTTGTGCACAAAAAAACAACAACAGTAACGACTTTATTTCAACTATTCGTTTATTTCTCCCTCTGCGCGAGTCAGATTACTAGTTTAATAGCGTAAGCTTCTGTTATTGTACGTCACACGCATCACACACACATGACCAGCGTCGGCCAATAGTGAGCCTACGTGTGACGTAGCTCTACGCAATCACACTACGTTAACTGACTACAGGCTCATGGAGAAGGAAGTGAATAGTTGAAATAAAGTCGTTATTTTTGTTGTTTTTTTTGCGCACAAAAGTGTTCTTGTCGTTTGATAAACTTAAGATTGAGCCCCTGTAGTCACTCGGACTATTTTAACGATGTCTTTAATGACTTTTCGAGGACAGCAAGAGCCAGTCCCTCAAGAAGCCTATGGACTGTATGCAGGAGCGATCTTAATATCTTAAATATCTTAATTTGTGTTCCGAAGATGAACGAAGGTCTTACGGGGTTGGAACAACATGAGGGTGAGTAAATACTGACAGAATTTTCATTTTTGGGTGAACTAACCCTTTAATAACCGCAGGCAAACACTTGTGTAAGTCTTCTTCAGTCTGACTAAACATGAATGATATCTAAGGTTGATGTGTTTTTTACGTTATCGGAAGAATCGTAATCGCTACAATTTAAATGTTTAAACTATCATTTTATTAGTATTTAATAATATTAATGGAACCGAAGTTGGAAGCGTCAGGCGGTTAACGTTAAAGTGTCTTATGATTCCCAACCCTAGTCACATCAACAGATCGAAGAGAACTTTAGATATTGCAAACCAGCACCCAGAATACCAACATGTTGAAAGGACACACACAGGTATCCTTGAGTACTGATGTTTTATTATATATTATTATTGAATGCATGCAAAGTGTGTATAACAGTAGCTTGCAATGCAGAGTACTTGTGGAGAGAGTGTGTATGGCCTTCATTACACTTCAGTTCAGTAAACCATTGACTTGATTAACTAAGCATGTGAAGGTCCTTCCCTCAAGCGTAACCTTGCATTTATTCACCGTTTTTACTGTTCAGCTTGACCATGTTTGCCGAGAGCTGAATTGTAGCTCCTCTTTTGCTGGTCTGAGGGAACCTGAAGTCCTGGATTTGGCCATCGGTGCTCAACACATACACGTCCAACACTGAAAGAAGACAGAAATCAGAGATATATATAAATGGATTCCTTTGCGCGTTTAAGGCTTTTTTGAACAAATTACTGAACAACTGCAGTGAGATAAACTGCCCGGAAGGTTTCTCGCATTCCTCTGTCAGATGGAAATTACGAACCATTACATTTCATTAAGTCTACGTGAGGTCTTTTAATTAAAACAAGACATTGTGCACGTAAAAGAGACTGAACTGAAGTGTTGCACCACATCATATCCTGTTTAAATGAGGCAGAGAATAAAAAGCTGTGCTCTTTTATGTTTTCACATAAACAATAAATGCTGTTCTCAAGTTCATTTAACCCTATTCAGTACCTTCTGCTAAAACCGGCACGTGTTTTGTCAGCCGCAACTCAACGCATTAATTTCCATTTTGATGTGAAAGCAACAGACCTGACAGCTACGACTTGACAGACCTCGTTTAAAACCACAACTAAACTCAGGTACACACACACAAGCACCAGGTTTAAAGGTGCCGTAACCCAGAGGACTGAAAGATGAGAGCACAAAGCTGACTTATATGAATCCGATCACATTACTAATGAATTCAGCTGGCAGGGCCTGCCTATGTGAACGGTTCAGGGCCGCCACATACTAAGCCGATTTACTCCCAGCACACTTCACCGGTGATGAATGCATTCATGAAATATTACAAACAGAACAATATCAACCTATTTACATGCACTCGAGGTAATGTGACGAGTCTGATGCCTGTCGGCACTTCACCACAATGTAATCATTCTAACTGTTGGTGATTTTAACATTTAAAGATGACCTATTTTGCCCATAATTTTGTTTTCAGGCTCTACTTGAACAGGTTTTCCTGCTTGAATGTTGATTATTTTTCTCATATCCTCCTCTCTTCCTAGTCTGTCAGTAACGCTCTGTTTACTTCCTGTCCCTCCTTCTGAAAAGCACACTGTGCTCTGATTGGTCGGCTGGAGGAGTGTGTTGTGATTGGTCGAGCGCTTCGAGTGTGTTTGGGAAATGCCCCGCCTCTTTCCATAACCGCCAGTTTAACTAACTCAACCAGGCCCCGCCCCTTTATTCTGCGTATTAATTATTATAACGAAGAATACTGTGACGTGTTCATTCCCGGAAGAAACTCAAGACTACAAAGGAGGCGTTTCAGGAGTTCAGAAACACTGACACTGATATGGAGAAGAACCGGAGCTTAGTTTTTAACTTTGTGAGAGGTTCAGATGCCGTTTTTACGGTTCCTCGTGGTCCGATTCGTTTACGAGTAAGAAAAGCGACTGTACATGGAGACTTTCACGTCTGAGAAGGATATCACTTTTTCAACACTTGAAACTTGTGCTTGGGCTTTTTTTCGAAAGGCTATTTCACTCAACTTCAGATTTAGTCTCCATGTAAAAGTAAAACTAAACTGAAGGCCGATCAGCTTTTATAGGAAGATTTCTCAAAGAAAACGGCTTTATTTGCTTCTACTTTATTGCAAACACACTTGGTTTAATAACCACTAGTTATGAAACCACTGGTTTTCTAAATGTTCGTATGACTTCAATGCAGTTGTGACGCACGATATATCGGCCGATAAATGTTCATTTTTAATGTTATCGGCCCGATAATAATATTCAGCCTACATTAAAGCCGATAAATAATGTATTATTTCCTCCAGCTGAGACACTTCAGATGTGCACTGTTCAACATGATGGGTTTGAATTACTTGAAATATGATTGAAATCACTTTGAAAAAAGTGCAAAAATCCTGTCTTATCGGTTACATGAAATTATCATGAGAACATTATAATTGTGTCACTAGCTGCGTTTCCATTACCCTTCGATTTGCGCAAATTGAAATTGCGAAATGAAAATACGCTCAATGGAAACGCGTCAATTTCGCAAAAACTCCCGTTTATCGCAAAAAAGTATTTACGCTCGCATGAGGAGGTTTTTCAGGCAATTCGAAAAAGGATTTTTTCGCAAAACTGCAATGGAAATGGATTTTGCGCATTTACAATCACCTGACCAGAAGACGGAGTGTGTTTTAGGTCCGTGTCCGCAAATAATAATAATAATTATCATCATTAGCCTATTATAACATTTATTAGGCTACAAGACGCTTTTATCCAAAAAAGGAACAAAGCAATTCGTCACATGTCATTCATAGTACAGATTGGACAATAATAATAATAGGGCTAAGATTATCACAAATAAACACTCGATTTTGACCAATATTCAAGAGTGTGTGCGGAGTTTGGAGCACTGGATAACAGACAGGCGCGGGCGCGCCGTGAACACTTTCATTTTCCCATCAACAGTGGAATCAACTTAAAATACTCTATCATTTCTGGTTATACAGAAAATAATAATACATTATTCACAACTACTTTTATTTGCGTAATGTCACAATAACAAGAAAACGTTGTGCTTTTGTAAAATAAAATAAAACAATCAGGCGCACTTTATGATCTTCGTGAACTGGAGCGCGAGAACTGAAACAATATCCTTTATAGACTAAAGCTTGAAATGTCCACTTTAAAAAGAACAAATTCCAATCGTAAACTAATACCTTCTGATTATGTAATCCGTATGAAAGGTGCAGTTCTCTCTAAAGGTGCATCCGGAGATTATGTTTTTAGCTCGTTATTTTTTCAGACGCATTTAATAACTCACCTATTCAGCACGGCGGGAAAAATATCATAAATATCCATGTTCTAATTTGGGCTTAGAAAACTAGTAAAATCTACAAAACTAAAATGATGGTGTTCAACTTAAAAATACAACCGTTCATTTTTCGTTTTGCAACGACCGTTTGGACATAATACGAGATAGAGTTCTTTAATAAATTCATAAAAAAAAAAAACAAAAAAACAATAATTAAAGGAATAGCCTCTCTAAACCTCAAAGAAATGCAGAAATAAGGGAGAAACACCAGGAACTCCATGTCTTTCCCTGCCATTAATACTTGGATAACACACCACGTCTCCTTCCATTAATAATAATAATGTCTAGTGCGGTGCATGGCTGTGACATAGGTTATAAACCTACCAAAGTCCGTTGCCATGATTTTTGGAATGACTTTTCGCGAGAGGAAAAATAAGATGTTTTGGTCACATAACATCGGTTAATCGAAACACCGCTATTTCGCAATAGTTTTTTATCGACATTTGGAAAATATCGCAAAAGTTTTGCGCAAATCTGTAATGGAAATGCGCCTAATGCAACATGACTTTTAATGCGGAGACTTTTGCTTTTATGATCAGGCTCTCAAAAATGAACAAAAAACTTTGGCTTTAGATTTATCTGCCAATATATCGGTTATCGGTTTACAAACATTAATAATTATCGGTATCGGCTAAAATGTTCATATCATAGCATGTGTAATATCGAGTGTCCATCCGAGAATCCTGCTTTGTAATATGACCAGTACTGGTGAAAGAACATGCCAGAAACAGACACGTCTATAAACTATCACACTGCGTCAGTTCTTATGGATTTAGTCTCAGTTTATTTTTCCTGTGTCTTCATATATCCCCAGACAGACTCAATGATGGTGAAAACAGATCTGTGTGTGGAAACCATTGAGGATTCTTTATGCCAACGATTATGGTCACAATTTATGGCAAAAGGAAATGGTTTGGAAATACAGACTGATATGTCTTACTGACGCACTGCCAAATTTAACAATCTGTTGGCGAACAATCCAAGACGTTTGTATATAAAAATAAAAAACTGTATATAAAACAAATCAGACCAGATCCCTGTTAGTTTATCTTTGGCCTCGTATAGATTTGAACAGGATTATTTTGGACCATACTGATGTATAAAAGTACAAAGAGAATGAAAATGTTACATTCTATTTGATTAAAAACAGGAAGTGCATTAAACATTAATCAGGCTTTCCAAACTGGGATTCAAGAAAGGAAAGCTGATGAAAAGATAATATAAATAAAATAATATTGATTAAAGGGATGGTTCACCCAAAAATAAGCATACAGAACACAGATACGGGGTGGTGTATTCCACTATGGTAGTCAATGAGGCCCAAGACAAACTCATGCAGGTTTGAAACAAATTGAGTAAACGATAACAGAATTGTTATTTTTGGGCGAACTATCCCTTTAACTATAGTTTAATGTTATTTTAAACACGATAGAGCATTAACCTTGTATCGCCATTTAACTTCCAGAGCGTCTTTACAGCAGAACTCAATTCTGTTCATCTCTGTGAAGCTGCTTAGAAACAATCTGTACAGTATAAAGCGCTGTAGAAATAAAGATGACTTGATCTCCACTCACCGGACATTGAACTGCTGCCGTACGCAATACAACCAACATCATAAAAACCAGATTCACATTTATCAAATTCCGATTAAACTGAACATGCTTTAAATGCCACTCTAAACTATCATTTTGTAGAGATGTCGCCACAGGCACGTTTCACTCATGTAGCCCTCAAACCATATTCACTTCATAGCCCTTAATCCTGTAATTGCAGACAGATCCTAATTTGTATTTATTATAAATGTTATATCACTGTCTTCGATAAAGATTTGTCTATCCATTTATGGGTTGTTGTTTTTTTATTTTGGGGGTATTTTTCAGTTTATTTACTTCAAAATGTACCATATTTTTTTATGTAAATTATGCTTATTTTTACGTGTTATTTTTTAACTACATTAAAATATCATTCCAATAAGTTCCTAGAGCTAAAACCTAAAGATGAAGTGACTTTGCCGTCACCTGGTGTCTTATTTTGGCTTAAAGGGATACTCTACTTTTTTGGGAAATAGGCTCATTTTACAACTCCCCTAGAGTTAAACGTTTGAGTTTGACCGTTTTCGAATCCATTCAGCCGATTTCCTGATATTTAAAAGAATATCAGTAACCAGACAGTTTCTGGTCTCATTGACTTCCATAGTATTTTTTTTTTCCTAATATACAAGTCAATGGGACCAGAAACTGTCTGGTTACTGATATTCTTCTAAATATCAGAAAATCGGCTGAATGGATTCGAAAACGGTCAAATTCAACTGTTTAACTAAAAAATGAGCCTATTTCCAAAAAAAGTGGAGTATCCCTTTAAGAGAATGCTCTAAATTACAGTTTTTCCCATTCATTTCTATGGGTGCTCATTTTTTACCCAAATACAAGATTAAAGCTACACTGTGTTACTCTTTTAGTTTATTCTTAGCTAAAAACACTTAGTTATTTCAAAAATATACCGGTATGTGCTCATTAATGTATATTTACTTCGTTCAAGTAATGAACTATTCTCGTGACTGTATAATATGCCATTGAAAATACACACGGGTAAGGGGTTCTAATGTCGGTCGCCATCTTGCCCCTCCATCTTGAAAGTACATTAGCCAAAGAGGGACATACCCGTTAATACAAGCTTCGCCTTTCGGGTTTATGTTTGAGTTAACAATCATGGACGAGGTCGGATTGGAAGCCATGTTAATCTTGGACTACATTGGCCACTGTAGGAGTTAAAACGAAATCAGAATTGAGAGGAACAGAAACTAATATTCACTGGATGGTCATATACCTTTTCACCACTAGATGGGGCTAAAAATCACACAGTTTTTTTTTCTCCCACTTAACATTGTAGAATTGAGTCAAAAACTTTTTTTATATGTTCAGGAGGCAAACTTAGGAAAAGCAGCCAAGTCTTGTACCGCTCAGATCAAGGGAAGTATTTTTTAAAAAACAAATCAAAGCTATTTTGTCCACATTTGTCCAGAATACGGTTTTAGAGTTAAAAGAAGCTGCATTATTGAGAGTATTTAAAACATTAGGCTATATAAATCTAATTACAAGTGCGTAACTGATTATATAACCCAGATGAACAGCTTGTGAAGAGTGAAGAATGCTAGACCTTGGAAAGGTCAGCGAGAGCAACCTGAGCTCCTGAGTAACCTCTCGCACAGCTGTCCGAGTCCAGCGTTATTCCCTGCAGATTCTCATATCTGTGACTGTAAATATCAAAATATCCATCCGCACAATCATTTCCCAGACCCAACCTGCCGGGAAAGCTCGTCTAAATTAAGCCTTGTGTCGGATTGCTTGGTTTCTACCCCAGGAATCTGATATCTGTGTGTGTGTGTTAGCAAAAGCAGTGTTTGTTTCCGTCATCTAAAAGACTCTGCCAGATCTAAACATGTACAGAATCAAGAGCTTAATTAGAAACACAATACCAGAGCAAGCAGATAAAGGCTGTAACAAAACATGTGTGCTTTAAACGCGTGTTCAGGTTGACAGATTCACTGAAGTCGCTCAGCTGCAGTGTGTTGGATTTGCATATGGTCTAATAAGCTCGATTCCTGAATAATTAATCGTGTTTCTGCTCTCTATACATCTTTCTTTACTTGTGAGGAGCTGCCCCTAAACACGCCTGTTCCCGCCGCACTGCAGCCGTCATGACTTCATGTTATAGAAGAAGATCAGCGAACGCCACATTTCTAAACTCAGTCCACAAGAGCATGCAATAACAAATACACCCCTAATTGCACCACGTCACATTATTATTTATGGCAAAGGAGAAAACATGCATTGATTTGAAAGAAAAGTACAGTTGTAAGATGAAAAGCTTTAACCTGAGCTCATTCAACAGTTTGGGGTCAGTAAGGTTTTATTGTGTATTACGGAGGCTGGATTTATTTGATCAAAAAATACAGTAAAAATGTTGAAATATTATTGTCGTCTATGTGAATATCTAGTAAAGTGTAATTTATTCCTGTGATCAAAGCTGAATTTTCAGGATCATTACTCTAGTCTTCAGAGTCACTATGAAAATATATTTTAGTAATGTAATTTTACAGTGCAACAAAATTAAATAATTATCGTAAATACTTGATTTCCATTTACAATATTATAATATTTTCTTTTAACATATAATTTAGTAATAATAATAGTTTTGGCATAATCACAATACAAATAGTTATTATTATTTATTGTAATTATAATTATTATAATTACATCACACTAAATTGGTCAAAAACTGGGAAAGTGTTAACTCCATTCACTTTATGCTTACTGAACCCTAAAAGCATAATTTGCAAAAAAAAAGTATTCAGGAATATAAAATAATTTTCTAGTTTTTTAACCCTCAGATGCTGTTCAGTCATTTCTGACCGAAAAATTTTCTGTTTTGAATTTCTAAAAATCACAGCTTCATCGGAATGTTATGAAACTTGGTGACTTTTATGGAATTATGTATGAGAATACAAAAAAAAAAAAAATTGAGGTCATGATCTGAGCAGGCTAAGTGGTCTTAAAAAAATAGTCACACTTGTGGTCTTTGGTCGAAAATGACCCCCATATGAAATGAATGGGAAATTGACAAAACACAAGAATTCACACATTTTTATTTTTATTTTTTTTATATTTTTTAATAAAATTTTTTTTTTAAGATTGTTTCAACTATATATTCAAATCCACCAAAAAAAAATTAAAAATGTGTTCATAAACAGCTGGGGAATTATATATATATATATATATATATAAAAAATAATATATACTTTTTCATGGCAAAAATAAACCATAAATATTGCATAAGTATTAATCAATTCAATCAAATTGTCTCAAAATACTAAATTACAAAGAATAAACATTATAGAACAAAAATAAATTGCATTGGTTTTACTGGGATGGGGGGAATTTAATTTTTAGGTGTCCGGTCACTTTTGACCGGGAAGATAACAAGTGTGACTGAGGGTTAAATATTTATTTTGCACTGCCTAGAATGATTAATAGTTTCCAAATAGCTATTCACGTCATCTATGTGTTTCTTGATAACAATATATTGCAGAAAATTTATATTTTAGGATTCTTTGACTAAATATTACAATAGAAAATTCACAATGCATTTATTACAAATAAAAATATTAAACAACCTTATAAAAAACTGTCACTTTTGATTAATTTAATGCATTTTTACTGATTAAAAGCCTAAAAAAAATAATAAAAATGATTCTTGACCCAAAACCTTTGAAGTTTAGACTATTGCAATCAAATCTAGTGCTTTAGTTAGTCACTCTGTGTTTAATGTGTGAGGGGAAAAAGCTCATTCACGGCACAATTTAATGAACAATTCACACAGGAATTTGTTTTGTTCTTGAAATTTATTCTGGCTGAGGCTTTTAAATACTTAACAATAGACTTTTCAGATGCCAATGCTTTAACCCGAAGCATTAGTCGGCTTGAGACTCTTCAACTGAACACTGATTAAGGCCAATGAAACTCAATAGAGCGTTTCATTCACAGCGAGTTCAATAGCATGTGTGCATTTTGTGTACAGAGTATGATTGATTTGATGATGCATTTGAACGAATAAACCCATTAGCAAAGCGCTTTAGTGTACCAGTGTTCAGCTTTAGCCCATCCGGACACAATGACAACACTGTTTTTCTTCAGCTGTTTGCCATATGTCAACTTTTGCATTTAAACGTGCACTTTTCTCTCAAATCTGGTGAATGTTCAAAATTAAAAATGTCCTTTGACAGCCTTTGTAGTGAGCTTCAAAGTGATGGACGAACAGCTAAACTCAACTGGACAGGCATTTATACCACACAAGACGTTTCATAAAATAAGACCTTGCAATGCAAGACTGATCTCCACATCCAAACACTGACACAGTCCATTAAATAGCCTATTATGCCGATTTACAAAATGTTTTTCGCCTCAAGTGAGTTTGGGAATGTCCCGCCGCTTACCATAACCACCTGTTTAACACACAACTAGCTAACTCAACCAGGCCCCGCCCCTTTATTCTGCGTATTAATTATTATAATGAGGAATACTGAGACTTGTTCATTCCCGGAAGAAACTCAAGACTACAATGGAGGCGTTTCATGAGTTCAGAAACACTGATAATAATAAATCCTCTTTAAACTTGAGACAGTCTTAAGTACGATGCTATATTCTTGTACTGGTGAAACGTTGTGCAAAAGTTTATTTATTTCAGTAATTCAACTTAAAAGGTGAACAGATTCCCCTGTATATGAGCATAAAAGCATATGATATCTTTGGCGGCACTAGTTTCCCGTACAAAAATGTGTACCGTGCCAATTAGCAGTTGGTTTTAGAATGTTGGCAGTTGGTTTTAGAATGTTCAGAAACATAATTTGGAATTCAGAGTTGTTTGGCACCAGTAGCTGAACTGACCTTTAACCTGTTCAAGCATATTCCTGCCAATTCTATTTCCTCCAGCTTTTTCTTAAAGAGCCGGTGTGACTCTATTAGTCAGAGAGAGACTCAGAAACACTCACTGATGTTCTCGGCGGGCACTCGGACGACGGCGGGCTCGATCAGGTTGTCTGCGAGGACAAAGGCTCCTTCCTCCAGGGTATCCAGTAACATAGTGGCCGCATGCGTTTGCTCTGTGGAATTCATGTCCTTCCAGGATTTAAGAGCTTCTGGCCTCAGCAGGTTGTCAACCGTGTCCACGATGGCCTGTAACCATGGAAACAAGGGAAATGACAGGCAGTTGATATCTCTCCAACACATTCCTTGGGAAAAAAGGAGAATATGCTGGGAAGAGCAGAAGCAAATGAAACACGCAACAACTGTAATGGGAAATGAAACACTGTCTGAAAGTAGTGTGCTGTTTGACTCAACGGTTAAAGTGTTGTGTGTGTTTATGCCAGCTTTCATTAGAGATCACCGGGACTGCTTTCTTATCCAACTCTATTACGCTCTCCGCTGCTACATCGTCTACTTGATTGTCATATTCATCTCCTGTTATAGGGATCAATAATGCATCTCTTCCTCTCTGTAACTGGATCTAACTGCAATGCTGTCACAAAACGTCTAACATGACCATACTGGAAGTGACTTGCGGATTAAAGGGAAGGCTCCAGAAAACGGGAAGTTCTCATTTGCATCCGAGAAAAATCATTAGTGTGCAATCCAATTAAAGAATCCCAAGCTGATAAGAGCACTGCAGTGCCTCTGGGTTTAACGTCACCGTCAGACACATTCAGTTTTATGTTTTGGATCATATTTGATATAGATAGAATATATATGGGAAAACAATATTTTATTGAGGCCCAAATGGAGAAAAAATTAGCAAATTGGTGCAGATGCTGATATTTACGGAGGCGTATTGCATTCACTTGAAGAAAAAAAATCTACTCTGTTTTTCTGAATTAACAAGATAATTATCTCAGAATTACGAGTTAATTTTTCATGGAAAAAAGTTTTTGCTCTGTTTTTCTGAATTAATGAGTTAATTTTTCTTGGATTTTTTTTTTTTTGCTCTGTTTTTGTAAATTAACTTGTTCATTCAGAAAAACAGAGCAAAAAAAAAATTCCATGAAAAATTAACTCGTTCATTCAGAAAAGAAGAGCAAAAAAAAAATTTCAGTGAAAAATTAACTCATTAATTCAGAAAAACAGAGCAAAAACTTTTTTTCTCATGAAAAATTAACTCGTTAATTCAGAAAAACAGAGCAAAAAAACAATTCCACGAAAAATTAACTCGTTAATTCAGAAAAGCAGAGAAAAAAAATTTCAGTGAAAAATTAACTCATTAATTCAGAAAAACAGAGAAAAAAAATTCAGTGAAAAATTAACTCATTAATTCAGAAAAACAGAGCAAAAACTTTTTTCTCATGAAAAATTAACTTGTTAATTCAGAAAAAAAAGAGCAAAAAAAATTTCAGTGAAAAATTAACTCATTAATTCAGAAAAACAGAGCAAAAAAAAAATTGCAGTGAAAAATTAACTCATTAATTCAGAAAAAAAGAGCAAAAAAATTTCAGTGAAAAATTAACTCATTAATTCAGAAAAAAAGAGCAAAAAAAATTTTCCCAGTGAAAAATTAACTCATTAATTCAGAAAAACAGAGCAAAAACTTTTTTCTCATGAAAAACTAACTTGTTAATTCAGAAAAAAAGAGCAAAAAAAATTCCATGAAAAATTAACTCATTAATTCAGAAAAACAGAGCAAAAACTTTTTTCCATGAAAAATTATCTCGTAATTCTGAGATAACTAACCTGTTAATTCAGAAAAACAGAGTGAAGAGTTCAGATGCAAAAGCCTCTAAGTGCCATGTGAAAATTTCTTCTAGAATGATAATTTTTATCAAGCTTGTATATTTAAATTCAGTAATTTCACTTAAATGACAATTCATAGGTAATCTTCATCCCCATTTAAGTAAAAGTAATTAACTAAAATATACAAGCTTGATAAAAATGATCATTCTAGAAGAAAATTTCAAATGGCACTTAGAGGCTTTTGCATCTGAACTCTTCAGATTTTTTTCTTCAAGTGAATGCAATACGCCTCCGTAGATATTCATATGACAAAAAGTAAAATTAAATTCTGATGCTTGTAATGCAAATCATCGAGATCTTTAGCAGATCCTTAAATCAACTCCATGTAAATATCAGTCGTCACTCAATATCTGCCAATAATATGTCTTAGTAAGATGATATTTAAAGCTTAGTTTCCTGATGTTTTTCTTGTGGGTGCAGGTCAGTATTTAAAAGCCTGAAACAGAACAGAAATGTATGCACAAAACTGTTTTATGTGTAGATTTTGAAAATAATTCAACCACTAATTTATGTAAGAATGTTTTACAAACAAAAGTAATAATTATCTTTTAAATTAAAAAATTAAAAATTTAAGTTTCAATATACTTTTTTTTAAATGCTCTGTTGCTAAATGTAAAGTTAAAATACAAAAAAGTGTAAATGATCATTTAACAAAATTATTATAATTTTAAAGGTGAAGTATGTAAGATATTTTATGTTAAAATACAACTATTAGTATGCCGTTCATGGGTTCGCTCAGATCCGTCAATCTCTCTCCAGCTCGACCAATAGCGTGAGTTTGGAGGCGTGGCTACCATAGTGGGCGGAGCCACCGGGTGTTTAGACCATGGACGAAAACACATTCAGCTTCGGTTATAAAATTCACTGCATTTAGATCTTTAAAGATTAAACCGATCGAAGTGAACAGGGAAATGTGAAGCTATGAACAACAATGGACGTTTCAATACAATAAATGTACCCATTTATAATGTTAACTCAAACAATTGTGGCGTGTCATGTCATAAAACGCGTCCAGTTCAGCTCTATCAGATGGGTTTATTATAACCGAGACGCTTGCGCTCGCTTTAGACCGAGAGTTAGTCTACTCAATTACGTACTCATGACACGTAGCAACACAGCTAAAAGTGTTCCTGCAACGTTGGACCTGGTATTGAAAGTAGCCTACGTTTAAATGTTGAGAAAAGCCTACACAAGAGGCTGTGACTGATGATTGAAGTCCACTAGTGTCGCAGAACTACATACTTCACCTTTAACTTCACTTCTAAAGGACTTTCTCAGACGGGGCGAGCCTGTTGAGATTGTGAGAGGATCTCATTACCACAGAGCCCTTGAATGACACTGAGTAATTGTAGGACACTAAACCCATGATCACTGCAGTGACGACTCCTGTGATTAGTCTACAGTAAGTCAACAGCATCTGCTAAACCACAAGAGGTGTTCGCAGCCTCTTCTAGCTGGTGGCAAGTTATGACGGACCGCGATTGATGGAGAACTGTGCGTGTGTGGGCCGTCTGAAGTGCGAGTGGCCTTGTGGGCTGTGGCGTAGCTTTCAGAGTTGAAGCTCTGCTGAATTAGCATGAAGGCATTCGCCATTATCAAGAAATAACTGAGAAATATCTCTCCACAGTTCAGTTTGTGAAGGATCTGCAACCTCTAAAATCCTTGGGCTCGTTTGAACTTGGCATTAACATGTCCGCATACACACTGGAAAGACGTGTGTGATCAGATCTGTGTATACAGAGGTGGTCGGAGACGATTGGGATTGGATTGTAATGTTAACACAATCTTGTTATTGCGAGACATCCAGGAGCGGAGTGGAAAGGTCCTGATATACTCAAGCCAATGTCTTCGTCATTCTTTGCTTAGGGGTAAAAAGAAGCTGTTCCGGACACTAAACAAACTTCGTTTTCATCCTTATTTTGTTGAAATGATGTCACACCAGTTTGTTTAAATATACTGGGACCTTATGTTTGATTTCACACCTGAAAGTTGCACAGCTCTTATTGTCTGAAAACGCAATATTCCCACCATATCTAGCATTGATTTCAGACCCATATGTGCCTTTTTAGCGTTTCTATCACAGCATCTTTGAAATGTCTCCGCTTCCTCATTGATGAGAATTTCAATGTGTAGCTCCGTGACTGAAAATAGTCTTTAAAAGAAACCTCACCACTTGTTTTCTATTACTTATTTTAAGTAATGCACGGAGATCTGGTCAGTTTTCCAGATACAGAAGCTACTTGATGTTAAACAAGCATAAATATGCCATGTCCTGATTGGCTGATGATCCCAATCTGATGATCCCAATCTCGTCCCAATCTGCTTGATCGGATCACAGTCATTGCCCTTAATGCCAAGTGCAAACGCCATTGCACACTGAGTCCGAAATTCGCATCCGAAATTTTCGCACGTTAAAAAAAAAAAATTCGACCTCACGTTATGTCAATGACGCTTGCACACCGCCTCCAAAACTTTCGCCCGTCATAAAAAAATTCGAATCAGGTTCGATTTTCTGCGTTTTTCGCATCCACAGCAGGCGTTTTGAGAGTTTTTTTTGTCAATTCAAGGCCGGGGGGAGTTCGTTCCGCACATCATTGCACATGCTCAGTCCTTTCATAGATATACTGGAAGTCTCGTCTCTGTTCAGGATCGATTAGTTCACGGAAAATGGTCTTCTTTTTAATATGTGGCTCCAGAATCACAAGCAAAGATATAAATCGCTCGGGATAAATTCTCAACTCCTTGATAAGGAGGTGGATTGGATGGACCCAATATTTTCTCTTTCCTCTCTTTTCAATAAGAGAGAGGGCAGCAAAATCATCCTCACTGCTTGACGAATCCATTTTATATTTTTGCGTTTTTTATCTCCGCAAAGGTTTAATAAATACACATTGGACTTAGTGTACAAGGTTTCTGTGTGTCGCGGCGAACGCCCCTTTTCGTCAGCGATCAGGCGGAACAAATTATCACTCACCTGTGGGCAATCAAGTAGGAAAGACACGCACATTTCCTATTCAGTGTGTCGGCTAGTACCAGCAACAACGCCAGTAAAGCGTGAGAAAGGAAAGCGGCTTTCTAATCAGACTTCACTAAAGCTGTGCAGATATTGGTGCCAAATCAAAAGACTGAACAGACAGCCGGTAAGATCGCCACTCAAATCAGACTTTGTTGCACGCTGATGAGGCGTTGAGGTGCGAGTGGAAGAAGGCATTCATGTTTGTGCGCTGTAGTAGTTGTGTGTTGTAAACATTCACGTGGTATTTACATAATCACTTAATTTAGTGATTTAATTCTGATATGTACTCAGATATGGCTTGTAAAGACATGGTTTAAAGTCGTGCATGGTCCTATTTTTATATCACATTTGCCTAAAATGGAAATCAAAAAAAAAAAAAAAATCAATAAATATTTAAATGTTGGAATAGTAGTTTGTACATTTTTTAAAGGGAGTGATTATGTACTGAAAATATTTTGTGTGGGTAAAAAATGTGTTAAATTCACTGTTTGGATATTTAAATACTCATGCAATTCATTGTGCCTCCTGTAGTTTAAATAGTAATTTAATGTTTGTGATGAATTTAAACTCAAATAGTTCATGGAGAAATTTGTGTATTTGTATTTATATATGTGTCTAGTGCCGAGTTTGATAATTAATCATTTTTGAGCTCTGTGTGTCTGTTTTTACCACAAACATGCAAAATAGTAAATCGTTGGTGTTTTCTGGTTTTGAAGGTTTTTCACCTGTAATGTCTGGGCTTCAAGAAGTGATGACAAATAAAAGAAAAGGACAAAGATCCAAATTGAGGCCTGGTTATTGAGTGAAACAGTTTAATGTTCAAGATTGGTACCTCCCTATCAAGTGAGGGTTAAGCACAACTAAATGAGAAAAACACTTGACACTGTGTGTGACGAATTTTTAGGCTGACCAACACAAAAAAACGCATATGAAAATTTCGGACCCTATTTAATGGCCTTTACTATGTGGTAGTGATGTATATCTCGAGACCGGTCAAAAGACCACTTTTTCACAGCCTTGACGGTCTTTGGTCTTGGTCTTGTCATGGTCTCGGACCTCTCGGTCTCGTCTAGGTCTCGCTGTCTCAGACCGAGATAGTCACCGTACCAAACGCTGTATCCGCTCCACTGATCGCAGCGGCAACAAGCTCTATGATCACTTGATTTAAAAAACACTTATCATGTAGAGTTTTTTATGTGTTAATATTTAGTAAAACACATATCAGTGACGGTGATCATTTAACTTCATTCAGGAGAATTTGGGTAATGCAAAACTGACAGATGACTGAGTGCACAGCCAAGGTGTGTGTGTGTGAAAGTGTTTGTAACCATAGCGACAAAACGACTAACATCCTGCAAAAATACAATTATGTATTTAAAAGTTGCAGAGCGGATTCATTTGGAGACTTCAAAATCGGCAGATAGGCAGGCAATGCAAAACAAAATCTTACAAGTTATTGCTTAGCTTCAACAACACTAATCTGTTTTTTCTAGTGATCGGTCTCGGTCTTGGTCTCGGTCTTGACTTGGTCTTGGTCTCGGTGGTCTCGGTCTCGTCTTGGTCTCGACTTGGTCTTGGTCTCGACTTGGTCTTGGTCTCGGTCTCTGTGGTCTCGTCTCGACTCTATCTTGGTCTTGGTCTCGGTCTTGGTCTCTGTTTCGACGTGGTCTTGGTCTCGACTAAAGGTCTAGTGTGTGGTAAACAGAGATCGCTTTCTTACTGGGGAGCCTTTTCACAAGAAAATACAATTCAGCCTTTCATCCCAGACAGCAACATTTTTTTTTCTTTTTGCCTATTGTTTCAACTTTCTGTTTCAAAAGGAAATATCAACACAGGAAAGAAAAAAAAAAACATTTAATAAAAAAAATATATGTAAAGCGTGTGATATGCCATTATTATTTTGACAGGTGCACCTTTGAATTACCGACTGAAACGTGTAATTCAGAATGACAACACTAGCGAGATATGCATAAAAGATAAGCAAGAAATGCAGAGGGGGGCGGCAGAGTGAAACGCTCACAGTTCAGCAGGTGAAGAAGTGGACTTGAGGAATATGCACTTTGATCACAATATCAGCCGACAGACCCGAGCGATTATGACTGTGGGATGTCCATTACTCAGGCAAACAGGAGTGTGGAGTTGAGGAGGAAAAGCGGTGAGGAGGAGGAGGGTGGGAGAGCCACACAAAGCAGAACAGAAAGACAAGAGCCACACGTCATCATTAGCAGACAGGCTAACACACACACACAAGGTGCATGCAGAAGAGCAGGTGAAGGGAATTCTGGGAGGGGGTCCGTATATACCTTTGTATAGGCCCTGCAAGTCCTCTCTCTTTTTTGACGCTTTTTTATCAAACACAAAGACGGGAGATTAGGAACAACACACACACACACAGAGAGAGAGAGAAAGAGAGAGAGAAAGAGAGGGAAAGAGAAACAGAACAAATAAGAGCCTGTGCGTCAGCCATTTCAAGTGTTCAACTAGGAGCTCTGTTCCAGGGATTCGGATTAATTTTTTCTTATATGAAAACCACTGTTTTTTCATTTTAAAATATTACGTGCATTTACATGCACATTCTTAACCCCATAATGCTTAACAAGCTGACAATGCGCATGCTCATGTAAACGTGCTAACCTGTTTTCCTTTATCAGAGAGAGTAAAGTCATACACTGATCAACACCATTTCCACATAAGAGAGCATAGTTTTTCTATGTCTATTTTCTATAGACTCAACGCTCACACGGGTTGCCAGATTGATGACGTACCATTGTAAATTAAAATGGAAAGGGACGAGCTTTACACTAAGTTGATCAGCTAAAGTATCAACGTCATAGAGCTTTTTAGTTCTGGTAGAATCTGCGATCTCTGACCCAGTTCGTTTGATGGTTTCAATTGCTGCAATACACTGTAATTTCTGCCAACTGGCAACCTATGGTGGCAAAATACTGATGGATAGATTGGCAGTGAGCGAGATCACACAGACCAAAACAAAAACAGACTACATTACGACAAGAAACGCACATTTCAATGTCGAATAACTGGTTGTAGAAATGTTTTTCAGAGAAACGAGTATGTTAACTCAGCATGTTTGCTAAATATCTGCAAACATATTATGGTGTGTTTATGCTTTAGTACAGTCAAAAAATTGCATACAACTCCTTTAAGTATCAAATTACATGATATACAGTAAAAGTACGGAGCTATTCAATGGATACCGAACAGTATAGATGTGATCTTCGCAAAATCTGTGGAGAATATTATGTTTGCTCATATTGAGAGATTGAGATACTCTATAAAACGATTTAGAGCTCTATTTTCTGGAAAAGGTGGATGAATACATGGGTAGATGGGTGGATGAGTAGATGAATGGATGGGTAGATGCATGATTGGTTGTGTGGACATGTGGATGGATGAGTGAGTGGATGGATGGATGATTGGTTGTGTGGATGTGTGTGTGGATGGATGGATTGATGGATGATAGAATGGACGGAAGGATGGATGAGTGAGTGGATGGATGAATGAGTGAGTGGATGAATGGATGATATGATGGTTGGATGGATGGATAAGTGAGTGGATAGATGGATGGATAAGTGATTGGATGGATGAATGAATGAATGAATGAATGAATGAATGAATGAGTGAGTGAGTGAATGGATGGATGGGTGGATGGATGAATGAGTGAGTGAGTGATGTGATGGATGAATAAATGGATGGGTGGATGGATGAATGAGTGAGTGAGTGAGTGGATGGATGAATAAATGGATGGGTGGATGGATGATTGGTTGTGTGGACGTGTGGATGGATGATAGGATGGGTGGAAGGATGATTGGTTGTGTGGACATGTGTGTGGATGGATGGATGCATGCATTGATGGATGATAGGATGGGTGGATGAATGGATGAGTGAGAGAGTGGATGGATGAATGAGTGAGTGGATGGATAGGTGGATGGATGATTGGTTGTGTTGACGAGTGGATGGATGAGTGAGTGGATGGATGAATGGATGCATGAGTGGATGGATGATTGCATGGATGGATATGTGGATAGATATGTGGATAGAAGGATATGTGAATGGATGGATGGATGAGAGTGTTAACTGAGTACAGTAAGAGATAAATCATTGGGAGTGTGTGTGCTGGAAAGGCCATACTGAAATCTCCTCCAGCATTAAGAGCTGTCCCCTCACTCATCCACTTCATTAAAGTTTTAAAGCATGGATGTACTTTCCCTGGCCACTGAATGCGTCCTGATAAAAGCATCTCCAGCCGAGCCCGTCAAACCAGAACTGGTGACGTTTTAGGACTTTAAGCATCACTCTTAATCAAATCAAGCTTCGGTCACGTGACTCCTGCGCCAGTAAGAGTAGAGTGTCCTGTACCTTGTTGAAGCTGCGTCCCGCCGTGTCTTTATCGTTGGGTTTGAGCTCCTGCAGCTGAGCGTCGAGGATATCCACCAGCTGCTCCATGAGACGCACAGTCCAGCTGATGTCCCCGGCGAACACCGTGCCCTGCGTGTGCCGCGCCAACTCGTTCGCCAGGTTAGCCGCGTTCTCACCAGTGCGGATCTGGAGAACACCAGTCAGAGACATGCTAATAAACTGGACAGTTACTCACATATGCTTGTCTGAAACTTATTCAACCGTGTAGAAAGCTGATAATCTATTAAGAATAGATGCCGGTTCTTCAAAATTAGAATTGTTTAAAATCAAGAAATCACAATTTTCAAGTCGGTCCTAATACTATGTTCTGGTTCAGTATATTAAAAGATGTATATATATATAGTACTCAATATCAAGCAATATATACTACAGTATGGCAAACCACAATTGTTTGATTGTTTAGATCATCACTTGTATTATATCACCCAGCTCTAATATGCTGGATGCGACTATACGTTATGAAGACATGAAGATTTTAAAAACATCATTATTTTCTGTAAAACCATGTGTATTGTGGAAAGTGGCGTCCAAGGGTTGTAGACTGACCTTCTGTGCCACCTGGCTCACCCAGTGTGAGGTACAGTTGCTGAGATCAGGGCCTTTCGGGCTCCAGATGCCGTCGCCAGCCGAACACAGGAACAACGCCATGCCTGATCAAACACACAGCACATCTGCTCAACACTCACTCTAAGAGCAGCCTTTGAGAGTGTCACATGAAACATGTGTCTAAGATTTAGCGTGTGTTCACACTTGGCATGTGTGGTGGGATTAAAACGAACCCTGGAGCGATTGCTCTGTTAGTGCGGCTCATTTGAATACGTGTGAACGCCGCCATCTGAACCAAACATGCGGACGCTGAAAAGATGAGTCTACAAACCAACTCTGGTGCGGTTCCACTTAAATATGGACCCAAGACATGTAAACGAGCCAAACAGAGGAAGATGAGACCCTACAAAGGACAGAGTGCTCAAGCAAACCTGTTTTCTCTTACACGGGGTTAGTATAATCTGGGACCTCGTGTGATGTAGAAATTGCCCCTCCACCCCTGAATTCATATTCGCAAGGTATAAGCGAAGCCTGTAATCTTACTCGAATTTACTGACTTATCTCTCGGATATGATGTCAAGCTTGGAAAATGCAGATATAGCAGACATACCTCGAGTTCCTTTAGGACAAGGCCGCTCCACCGTCACTCCTCTGTGCGTCTGTGGCCAGGAGATTCCTCGCATCTCCGTGCCGTCGCAGAAGAGCTTGCTGACGGAGGGGGGGTCCGGCGGGCGGTCGGGCTGCTCGGGGTCAGGGGTCACAGGGGTCACGGGGGTCACAGGGGTCATGATGGTGCTGGTGCTGATCATCACAGGAGCCGTGGATCTGCTGGGCTGAAGCGTGGACGTGACGTCATCGGAGACCGTTGGCACTGTGAGCAGAGGAGAAACACTCCTTCACACACTTTTATCTGAAATCTTGAACACGTCACTGACTAAAACACTGATAGTAAAAACTAAAACACTTTTAATACTTGAAATTAACATTATAAGATAAAAATTTACAAAAGATTTTTTTTAATAAAAATTATAAAATAAAATAAATTAAATGATGAAATAAAAAGAATAAATGAAATGACAAAATTAAATAATATAATTAAAAGAAAAATAATATATATATATATATATACAAATAAAAATAAAATAAACTGATAGGCCTACATAAAGTTATTTTTTACAGGTAATTCCCAAAGCAACATTTCTCATTTTCATAGCTTATCTTTTGGAGAAGTTTACTTTTAGTAAAATATATATATATGTATAAAAACAAAAAAAAAAAAAAAACAATAACTAATAAAAGTGACACACACACCACAGTATTCAACAATAATATTGATCTTCTGCATTGACACCATTATATGAGAACTGAGCTGGACGATGACATCACGGTTTCTGCAGAGTGGCTGTATATAGGACTAAATGAACTAAACTAATAACGTTTTTATAACAAAAATGAACCATCACTGAACTTCCTTAAGCTGGACTGTGACGCAATTTTCTTCCAGAAAAAAACTTTGTTTTATTTTTATCCTGTTATCTCAGTAAAGCTGAGAATATACATAAAGGTGACTTGACAACAACATGACTAGACAACATTGAACAATGAAAGTGAAAAAAACAACAATAAAAACTCCTTTACCGTAAGATAAATACTACCAACCATTATAAGTTACACATCATATCAGCAATGATGAACAAGTCAGTGATTGACTTCATTTGTTTAGGATATTGGCCTCTAATTACAGAAAGAAAGTCGTTCAAACGATAGGAATGAGCTCAGATTAAGGCCTCGTCCACACTACTGCGTTTTCGTTTAAAAACGGAGAATTAAAACGAATACGATCTCCGTCCACACCAGCGTTTTATCTGCATATTAGAAATGATCTCCGTCCACATTAAAACGACTGAAAACGCGGATCACGTGACCATTCACCAACACTGGGCATGCGCGTGCCGGTGTAAACAGTGAATGACGAATCAGGGAAGGATACGTCATGACTGATGACACCCAATCATAAAGCGGAGCCCCTGCGTCATCGTTTATAAACTCCTCCGTTTTGTCCCGTCCACACTAAAACGCCCTCCGGAGATTCAAAACGCAAAACGCAGCTGCAGCGTTTCTAAACTTCTCCGTTTTAGGTCTTCGTTTTTCCCGTTTTAGTGTGGACGGGGCCTAAAATATTCCCTTTCATTCCGTCACTCATGAGAGACGACTGCAAAACATCACACTCATCACACTCATCTCACACTCATCACACAACATGTTCAAAACAGAACAACTTGCTGTCAGTAAGCAAAGCGATGTGAGATATTGTGTTCAATAATGTGCAACACGTGCATATCTGTTCAGATCACACATGTGCTGTGGGGTCTGGGACCCTTCATCAGGGGAACTGTGTGTGTGTGTGTGTGTGTGTGTGTGTGAGAGAGAGAGTGTGAGTGTTTAAGTGTGTGTGTGTGCGCTCTAAAGGGCATCACGACGTGTGTGTGTGTGTGTGTGTGTGTGAAAGAGAGAGAGAGAGATTGTGAGTGAGTGAATGGGTGTGTGTATGTTTGCATTTGTGTGCGTGTGAGTGATATGAAGTAATGTGTGTGTGTACATGTTTGTGCCCATGTTTGTGTGTGTGCATGTGAGTGAGTGCTCTGAAGAGCATCCATGACGTGTGTGTGTGTGTGAGAGAGAGAGAAACATCCAAAAGGCTTCCTCGTTTTACACACTGAATGATTGATTAAGTGTGAGGACGGCGTCTGCAATAACGGCGATGTTTTCACTGGACTAAGAGCAATAATGGAGAACTCAAAGTGAGTCCCTCCTCTTGACAGATAAAACAACACGGCTGGATCTTCTGCTCTATTGTGTTCCCAGACTCCACAAAAACAGAACAATTAAGTAAATTTCAACTAACAAAATAGTTTCAAAACAGAGGAGAAGAGGAAAGACAGTGTTTCTCAGCATGGTTGTGTTTTGATGATTATGAATGTCCTCTTGGTCAGGCCTAGTGTACTTGTGTCTGTTTACACTCCATTCACACACAACTGAGTGTGTTTACATCAGTTTCACATCACACATCACACACCTTGGCCTTTGGGATTAAAATATCCCCACATCATCACACACCTTCCACCACACCTAGGGATTGGCATGGGGTACTTTCCATAAGATCATCTTTCAATGCAAACCAGCTATTAGGCTAACTGAAGTAAAACCATGCCAATCTCTAGGTGTGGTGGAAGGTGTGTGATGATGTGGGGATATTTTAATCCCAAAGGCCAAGGGAACTTTATCAGGATGCATATTATCCTGGATCCATGAAATAACTGGCTTTTAAAAATAAAAATCTGCCTGACTCTATGGGAATTTAACATAGGGGTGCCCTGACTTATGTACCCTGTATTTTAAGGAAAAACATTTATTTATTTATGATACATTATTCATTCACAAAGAAAATTGGTGTCCTTAAAGGTTGGACTTTTCCTCATTTTTCTAATTAAGGCATTAAGATCAATATCCAAAAGAAGATTTTTTATTCCTCTTCTTAGGCAACTTTAGCATGGGTGCCAAAACTTATTCACACCACTGTATAAGCCACAACAGGGCAACATGTCAGCTGAGTGAACACCAGCTCTACACTGACTATATTCATGTCTCGATATTAATCTGTAATGATATGGTTTTAGGACCGCCAAACGATTAATCGCATCCAAAATAAAAGTTTGTGTTTACATATTATATGTGGGTGCATATATAAATATATATATATATATATATATATAAATACACTACACACACATGCATGTATATTTAAGAAAAAAATATTATTTATATATAAAATATTAATATATAATATAAATTATATATAAGTCTATATACAGTATATACATGAAAATATTTCTTAAATATATACAAGCATGCGTGTGTATTTATATATATAAAATAATTATACACAGTGCACCCACATATATTATGTAAACACAAACTTTTATTTTGGATGCGATTAATCGTGATTAATCGTTTGACAGCCCTATATGGTTTCTTTAATATAAAATCTTTTAGTCTCAGCAGTTTTCTGTTGATTTGTGAACAAAACCTCAATAAACATTTGTCGCGCCTGACGTCCAATAATCGTGATAAACTTTTGCTTTATTGAAGCAAAGTCTCAACTTTATAATTCTATAGATTTCATTACAGAATTCTAACAATGAATGTTGTTTTGTGTCTTGTTACGGCCAGCTCGTTTCGGCCATACATTAAGTAAATAAGTACACCAAAATGACTTGCAAGATTTTATTTGTCCACAAAAATCTCAATTAACTAAATATAACAAAGTCTAGGGTTTCAAATCAAAAGGGGAAAAATCATAATCCGATTGGGGGTGTAAAAGAAGGTTGGTATGGGCTGTAAATCAAAGGTTCAAATGACTTCGCCAGAGGCTGTGAGTCCCCTGGACGAAGTGAAGAGGAGATGTTTAATCCAAGGTTTTATCCTCTTCATAATTAGAGATAATCAGGTAGCAGGTGTGTGCGCTCTCCCACGCTCTCTGAGCAACTGCGCCACCAGCAGGCGAGCAAGCGGAACGCAGGGTCGTAACAGTCTTTAAAGTGACGGATCTTCTCTTTACAGCAGTGGTTCTCAAGCGGGGCGAGACAACTGCAAATCGATTTAAATATATTGTACCGGATGCACCGATATGAACATTTAGGCCGATACTTACAACCGATAATTCTTTATATTTATAACTGATATATTGGCTGATAAATCTTAATCCAAATTGATTCTTATGAATGCTACAAAAGTTATTCAGCCGAGAGCAGCGAGTGATCTCTTTGTCTTTTGTTCATGACCCGTTATTGCAAGCCGTTGCGATATTCATATTGTGATTAGAGGTAGACCGATTAATCGGCCAATTTTTTGGCATTTTTTAACATAATCAGCATCAGCCAATATCCAAGTATATCAAGCCGATTATTAGGCAGGTTTATCTGTGGGCAGCCTAGTGTTGTCGTTGACGCACGCTGCCGCTAGAGCCATTTTCCAGCCGAGTGAGCAGCAGACCCAGTTCAATGAACTCGTTCAGGCACAACACTGACCGTTAGTTAGTAGCTGGATTAAACATGGTTAAAATGCTGGCCAAACAGTGTAAAGTGTGACTGTATTTCACTGTAGACTAAAAGGTCCAACAGCGGGATGCCGTTGTCTGAAGAACAACAGACGGACGGTGCGTTGTGGTTCATTTTAAGTTTTTGTAAAATATAATTTTGCCATCTGGTGGTTGTTTTTGTCGTTCAACAGTAATTTACTAGTGACATACGTTATTGTTAGAAGTTAAATAAATTAAATAAAATATAATAAATCTTATATATATAAAAAATGAATCATTTAAAGTTTTTTTTTCTCCTTTTTTGTGATATTTAGGTTATGTCCATTTTCGCCCTTATCCGTCAACAAACAAAACAAACAAAAAATACATATTTCAGGACATTTTTTGAGAGGATCAAATGTTTTTGTTGAGAAAGTTTGTCTATGTTAAGTCATTATCATTTCTTTTACATTTTATCTTTCAAAGGTTAAAAACCAAGCAAATATCAGCCAAAATAAATCGGCGGCATTAATCGGCCGACACGGATTTCAAAAGATCGGTATCAGCATCGGCCTGAAAAAACAAAACAAAAAAAAAAAACATATCGGTCGACCTCTAATTGCGATATATACATTTGCGATATTTTGCAGCCCTAGACTGAACGACGGCTCAAAACACCCGGCCACTTCATGAACACAGGCTACACAGACCACATCTCAGTCGGATAGAGAAAACCAGCGTCACTAACAGAGCTTTGATGGATGTCGACTGTAGACGAATAAGAGGATTACAGT